ATAACTTTTTCAATAAACATATTGACGTTTCCATTAGGCTAGTTATTAAAGTTAATCATTTTGTAAATTTTGACGAAATTAATATTATGCGACTGATTTGTAAACCTTCAATACGGATAAACGTATAAGATAAGCAGCCAATATACAGGCAACATGTATCAATGGATGGACACTCGAAATTGTGACGGCGTCCACGCTTTGATTTGAGGTTATCTGTCGCTCTCTATATGTCCCACGGCGTTTGGAGTGTTTGCAGGGCCTTTAGGACTCTTATCCGCCATTTTATTTATTGACTAGCTTATCACCCGCGGCTACGCCAGCATCGCCCGCCCGTAGTCCGACTCGACTATAAACTTAAAATCATCATCATTTTACAGACAATGTTATATAGCTTCATCTAATTCAACTGTAGCTATTACATAGCATTTTATCGCACAAATTTTCAATGTGATTCTTTACGGTGTTATAACTTTTTACACACAATATCAAGTAAAGCTTTCTACAACGAATTAGTGAAAGTTGCACCCAAATCGGTGAAGTGCACACAAACGCACAGACAAACAGACAAAAATTTTAACATTAATTGTTTTGGGTTCCAGGCCCCCAATAATAGTTTTTCCCAAACATCTGCCAGGTACAGACAACGATAAGTAAAATTTTATTATATAGTATAGATTATATAAAGCCCGCGATTGGCTGGGAGAGAGTTAGCTTTCAGACGATATCGGATTAATAACGTATCCTTGTCTGGCATCAAAACCGACAGGATGAAAAAACGAAGCATTATTTTTCAATTGTCATTTCAATACATTAGTACAAATTCTAAGTCATCTTCAATGCAAATTTTTCTAATTTCACCCTTTAGCTAGTCTGAAATTTGTAAATTTCTGAAATTAATTTTAAATTATTCGGAAGGCAACGATTTACCGTTCGTAATTAAATATAATCCACCGTAGACTCATAATTAAAATTCAAATTGAGGTCTTTTCTTTCCATGAGCTTTGCTCTTGTGACAAAAAAAATATTGTTAGTTCGATTTTGAACTTGAATAAGTTATCGTTTGACAAAAGAATGTTACGAAGTAATGTTCCTTTATCAAGCGTTGTAAGCTTTCCTTATTATTATTAAAACAGTACTTAGATCAGTAAAGATATAATGGTTCATTTTTGAGGACAACGAATAAGTTTTTATATAATTAATATCATAGGAAACGATAAAAAAAAATTGTAATTTTCTTAATTTACGTCAATGACTTCATCTCGTGGACTGTTTCTGCTATGGAGTGTAGAGTTAAGAAGGCATTTGGCTGGACCGGGTTTCCCTAACACCCAGGGAGAAGAATCTGAGAAGGCCACAGTCGCGCAGGGGTTCGCGGAAGATGGTTTTTTAGTGGGTACCGTGTAACTCCCACATACCCCTGCTGCCTACCCACAAGGCGGCGAGGGATCCATATAGGATTTTTGCCACGTTAAAAAAAATGGTGTCTTAAGCTCGTAGGAACTTGACTTTCCATAAGCTCTGTGACCGATGATACTTTGTATAGTCTACGAACTAAAAGCACTAACATTATATAATTTGTTAACATCTAGATTTATAATAGATAATTCAGTTTAAAAAGGAGTTTATTTAATAACACTCGCAGATAAGAGACAGTTTAATAGTCTAATTGGCTAACTAGCGGCGACCGACTTAAATCTAGTTAGGCTTGAAAATCCTTAAAAATAGCTTTATTTAAAAAAATGTTTACTAATATTACAATTAGTGGAGTATATTAGTTAAAATAGAATTTTATTAAAATTTCTTTGTTCAAAAATTTGAGCAAAACTTTTATAGGATGATATTATCATTATCAGTAAACAGTTTAAAATATTAATCGTAATCGGAAGCAATATTAAAGAATATTGAATATACAGTAATCTCAAACTAAATTGAACCGTGTTGTCTTGCGTGACAAATCATCCTTACAAATTGTATCGAACTACCTACATTAATTTCAGATCATTTGTCTTCGTTACATTGCATCGCATAGTCGCCTGATCCAATGTGTTGAATAGAACACAATTATATAAAGACAATCAATTCGCGGTTGTTTAAAATTGCCTTTTTTCCTTTTTCAACAAAAATTTAACACTTTGGGAACAAATGTTAAATCGCTTGCAAAGTTTTGGTAGGGCCACGCAACAGTTTTCACTGATGCACGAATGGGCAGGTCCGTCCGGGTAATTACCACGACCTCACAGAAGACCGGCGTAAAGTAGAAGTGTTACACTTCTGCTTTTCGTCTGGTGAGTGAGGTAGCCGGGGCCCACTTTATTTAAAGGTGGCAACACATTTGCAACCCTACGGGTGTTGCAAATGTCCATGGGCGGCGGTTATTACTTAACATCAGCTGAATCGCCAGCCCGTAATTTTCACATAAAAAGTCATAATTTGCCCTTCCTTCGTTTGTCTTTTCGTTGGCATATATTGACGAAATTAATATTCCGCGACAGTAATGGCCGCTCGCTCGCCGATAACAATAAACGTGGGAGATAAGCAGCCAATATACAGGCAACACTTATCAATTGATGGACACTCGAACACGCGACGGTGTGAGCGCTTTGATTTGAGGTTATCTGCAGTACTTCAGGCGGCCCACTACGCCATACTAGGATAGTCACTTACAACTTTAACTTACACAAGTAGTTATGTTTTCAACTTTGATTCTTTCATTTTCGTTCTTCTCGTCTAAACGTACAAATAGTATGCTTAGTCACATTAAACTGTTTTTTTTTGGGCTGGATCCACTCTCGGCCTTGATGAGGCCTTTACAGATCCTTGAGGTGGGGCAGAGGGCGCCTAGCCTGTACCTCGATTATCGTACACAAACTGTACACAGATGTTCCCATTTAAACACTACCACTGTCTGAATTTGCTTTGAGAATTTGCCAAAATCTTGGATGGCCATTTCACCTCGTGTACTTACCAAAGAGTATTTTACCCCTTTATGTTTCGGTTCAGAAATGTCTCTACGTTTTGAGGAAATTTAACGTCTCGATGAATGTATTCTAAAATAACCACTCCAAATTGAAACACAATTCGGCGGTGTCAGCTTTATAATTAAAATTCAAATTACTTTGTCTATCAAGAGCGTAAGAAGCTCTAGAAAGGCGAAAGACATTCGATTCGATTTTGAATTTAAACAAATTGTCGTTTGAAAAAAAGTGCTTCGTGTCGTTTGAAAATCTGCGGGTCACACAAATAGTTGGACCGTGTGGGAATCGAACCCACGACCCCCGACGCCGAAGCCAATAGCTTAGCACAGCCACCGAGCCATAAAAAAGATGAAATCCGTAAAACATTTTTTATCCAACATCATTATTAAAAAGCTTTATTTATTATTTTTAAAAAAAAAAACGACCTCAAACAGGAAACTGAAAACATTATTAATACCTATAACATTTTCATGATTGCCCTCTTTTCAGATCTGGGTTTTCCGCGAACACACATAAAAAAAATATACTGTCGAATTGAGTAACCTCCATCTTTTTTGATGTCGGTTAAAAAACGTACTTGGTTGGCAAACGTTTGTTAGTAACAGAATTAGCGACCTAATTCCTTTAGGCCCTCGGAACATCTGCGGTCACGTTTTCAATTGGAGTGTGGTAGCTAATTTTCTAATTAAAATACAACTAAGTACACAATTTTCTTTGTTTCGTACCAATCGTGTAATCTCTACTTATTTTTAATATTATAAATGTGAATGTAAGTTTGTTTTCAACACTTTCACGCAAAAACTACTCGTCCGAGAAATTGTGAGAAAAAACGCAATAGAGTAAAATCTGTAGACATCCCTCTTCTTTTTAAACGCTCCGCCAAAACACCATACAGGAATCCGCCAAGTGGAAAATGGGATGTTACATTACCTCGAAATGTTCTCATTAATATTCTTAAGACGTCCCGACAACCAATCACTCTGTGCCGCAGTGGCCAGGCCCGTTGGTTACGCCGCCGGGGGTCTTGGGTTAGAGTCCCACACGGGAGAACTTAATTTTTCTGACCCAAAGAAACCAACACACGATGGTTCCTTGAGAGTCAAGCAGGTTGAAAAAGTGATAAAAAGTACTTTGTAACCAATATCAAAATTCAAAACTCAGCATTTTTGGGTTCCCTACCCAAAGGGTAAAACGGGACTCTCACTAAGACTCCGCTGTCTGTCTTTTTTTCTTTTTTTTTTTATAAAACATTGCCCTTACTTTAGGATAACATTATCCTGTGTTGTAAGGACGTTTTACAAACATAAATTTCACGCGGACAAACACCCAGATGCGAAACAACTATCTGTCGGTCACACAAATAGTTGTCCCGTGTGGGAATCGAACCCACGACCCCCGACGCCGAAGCCAATACCTTGGAAAAAACGACACGGAGCTGTCTGTCTGCCACCAGGGTGTATCTCATGAATCGTCATAGTGAGACAAATTTTCACAGATGATGTATTTCTGTTGCCGCTATAACAACAAATACTAAGAACAGAATTTAAAAAAACAAATAAGTGGGGCTCTCATACAACAGACATGATTTTTTGCCGTTTTTATAGATTGCACGGACCCATTTGTTTGCGAATCCCACTCGCACTTGGCCGGTTTTTAGAATTATTCTTCAAAATTATAATCTGTGAACTAGCATTCGCTTGTTGAAAATTTTAAAATGAGAGAATTTGTTTGCCTTCGGAGTGATTTTAAAACTTTACGAAAATTAGAGTTTATGGACGGTAAATACTATTTAAAATTTTTAAATCTTTAATTATATATAATATGAGTACTGTTCGGTTTTAGTTTTAATTCATCTATATGACGTAAGCTGATCGTAGTCTCAAGAAGATTAGATAGATTTATAGTTTGATTATGTTATGTTGTCAAATTGTTTGTAAGTAAAATTAATCTTTCATCTGTAAAGCTATGCTTTATGTAATAAAATCAATGGTACAATATAGAGTATCATAAGATGGAGACACTCACCGGCCCTCCGAACTCGTAGCCCAACTCCAAGGCGATCAGCTGCGCCACCTGTTCCCCGCCTTCCACTTCCGCCGTCCACTCGTCGAGGAGCTGCTTCGAGGTCTCCAGCCCGCTATGCACCCCATAGTATCCATGCTCTCCTGGTACCCACGCGTCGTGTCTGGAGTGCGAAGTGACTACACACGCTCTGACACAGATTATAAATATTGTAATTTTTACGAATGACATTTCGTAGCTTTTAAAAATTAAAAAATCTTAACGTAAAAGTAAATAAAAAAAATTTTTTTTCTAAATCGGCGGGAAACTTCCCTTCACGGCGGACGCGGTTGTACTGGAACAAGGGAAGCGATTAAATGAGAGGAAATGTTAGACTTTTCAAAGGCGACAATTCATCGAGTTCTACTATATAATCATAGCTATAGAAATATGCGCAATTATACTTACGTGAGAATAAATAGTATTGCATGAAAATGTAACAATATAAAAAAACTGCTTAAATAGTTTTCGGTCGTTATGTCGCAGTGTGTAAAGTTAAAGCTACATAAATAACAGTTCCTGCCTTGTTAAGTAAGTTAATCAACTTTGCATAACAGTTTTAAATTTCTACATACTTAATATTCGTCGTTGACTTAAATTCATATTATCTAAGTGATAAAGAAATGAACTGTTATGGCAAATTAGTGGGACTTTTTATCTGTAGGAGATATTCTGTAAAAACTATATTAAATCAAGCGGACTTGATAAGTAGGTACCATTCTTCGGGTTAATGTACTGAACATTTTCGTTGTTTTTTATTTAATTTTTATTTTAGTTTAATTTTGTGTGCTTTACATCGAGTAGAGGGGCAGCTATCTTTCGGTAGCCAGGGTGACCTAAGGATCAAATCTGCCTGTTATTACATACACTCTTGCGTTGCATCTGGTGTGTGAGGTAGCTGGTGTAGTAAATGACTATGAAGTACTTAGATTCATCGATTGCTCGTTTGCCATCTCAAATTTATGAGAAAACAATGTAAAAAATTATCGCGATTGTCGACTCCATCAGATGCAAAATATTGCAATGGCTTTATCGCGCTTTCGCCAAGCGAAGCGTGGGTTATTTGTGAAAGCTGTAGCCTCTAAACTCCGCTTTGGCTGAATGGACTGGAATGAAATAACGCATCAGACCACAGTAAAGCGTTTAATGTAGCATCTCCATTTAGGGACTAAGTTTAACCATGCAAAATTAACTTTAAAAACTTACTCAGTAAAAACTTAAAAAAATATATTTAATTTTTTTCAAGTTTTGAATGTTTAGTGCACAAAAACTCTCGACGTATTCGAACGTGCTTCTCCTGGTTTCTCTGTCTGCCCAGACGCTTGACTGATAAAGCTAAGCGGCCGATAACGTCACGGCGACTTCTGTCTCCATAATCTCGACATCCAAATCAATCCAATCCCCAAACCCGTGGGTTCTGGCTAGCCCACCGGTTCTGCGTCAGATGAAGCTTTAATAGTCTCGGGACTGAGAGCAAAAACATCAGTATCTTGTATTAGATACAAGACAGATAGATATCGAGATTGAGGAGACTGAAGCATTAGATTTTAGCAATGCTTAATAATTATGTTTCGTGAAAAATGTTAAAATTTTAGAGGAATGTAGAGAGGATCCATGACCTCCATAACTCTACTAATACGTTTAATAGACAGCTTCGCCTACACCATCAGGAATATATTAAGTTTTTGACGTCATAATTAGTGTGGGGTTAGTCTGGAGTGTATTTTATCAGTACGAAATGCAGGTTTATTTGCTTGATAACGAACAAATTATACGCGACGTCATCCTATCTTTATTAATTTATTCAAAATATATCATATCTAGGTCCACTGTAACGAATTTCAGAATATTAAAACACTATTACTGCGATGAGAACGGAATATCATTAGGTAATTCCTTGTATTTGAAAGCTAAAAATAAGTATTTTACAAAGAAGTGTCAACTTAACAAAGCAAAGAATAGTTGTTGAAGTAATCGTTTCTAGCTTAGAAACCTTGCTTCAAATAAAGTGGTAAGTAGCAACAGTTAAGTATTCTGTTGGAATATAAGGCATTGTTAGAAAACTTTTTAAGTATCGCAGGTGTTAAACCTTCGAACGTTTCAAACTCTGAACAACATTTTCACTTATATTAAAGCATTTTAACGGCTTATTCTAGGCAACTAACATAATAAAAGCTGTTATATGAAACTAAAAAAACAAAACGATTAACTTATCTCTTTAAAGTTCTTTTCTTTTACACTACAATATTCACTGATGCACCGTAGATTACTCAAAACTCAAATTACTTTATGTAACGCTCAAAATTAAAATTGATTAAAGCGCCATCTGCCTTGACACGTGAAACACATAAGTTACGTATATGTAAAAATATTTTTATTCTTACACACTAGATGTAGCTAAGTCTAAGCAATTTTTTGAATGTTTTGAAAATAAACAGAAACTTTATTGATTTTTTTTATACTTACGCCAATACTATACAAAGGTAAATGAAATCATTTTACGAATTTCATTTATCGTAGAGTTTTATTGAAATTTCCAATGTACGAACACTTTACAGCGTTCATGGTCACGGGACATTTCAGAGTACTTCTACCGTCAATTATTTTATAATTTTTTTATTCAGATCTACTCAAAAACAGTGTTTGTATTTAATTTTATAAATTATAGTATCATATTTCCCAAGCTGATGACAAATCCTAAACATCTTCTCTATTGCTTATCTTGTTTATTTGTTTCAATAGCCTCGCGGATCATCCTTGGAAGGGATTGGTATTATTTTGCGAGGATTTAAGAATTGAAGACTATCTAATGTAGGGGTTAGGGCTTGTCAATATTAAAACCAAAAAAAGCTTATCAACAATGCTAGACCTCGAGATACCATAAGCTCTTTAATAATAATTGATGGTAGCAGGCTCAACTCCAACTTGACGATGATGATATATGAAAAAAATTATATTTAACAACAAATATTTAACAACATTTGATAGAAAATTATTTAATTTTAACGTTGATCAGTCTTTTAGAAACAGGATACGGGAGAGAGTCCGTGAATTCTTTTAAGCGTTCGAAACGTCGGGAATTTAAACAATAATATATAAAATCTGCATAATATTTTGATTTAAACAAAACACGACCTTTATTAAAATCCTAACAAGTGATTTTTCTGTTAATAATCTCTATTTTACGTTTTTTATTCGATGCAGTACATTACGTCATTTAAAGTCATTTACTCCAGTGTTTGCACTAAGATACACATAAAAGCTATGAATTGATAAGAATGACCTTCATAATGATCATAATGATTAAAGAGTTTATCAATCCTTTTGGCAACTCAAATAACATTTGAAAAGCCATTTGACAGCTGATTAGTTAACTTCTACGATGATCAGTGATTTAGAAATCGGGCTTAAAATCCCTAATTTTGCCAAATGTACAGTCGTACAGGCATTCTTGGAAGTTCAAGAATGCCTCAATGCCGGAAACGTATTTGTCAGCCGGCGCGCAGCGGGCAAGTTGGTACAGACTACAGATTAAAAATAAACCTTCACAGACAGCGGCGGCTAAACATTGCACAACTGAGTGTGTTAGTGGGGCGATGCGAGCGGCCGTGAGCTCGGCCGAGAATGTAAACAAAACGCGCATCGACAAATCCGCGGATCATCCAGTGTGACCCTGCTCCCAGAAACATCGGGACAACGACACATTTTCGCCTAATTAACCGACTTCAAAAAAGGAGGAGGCTCTCGATTTGACTGTATTTTTTTTATGATTGTTACCTCGGAACTTTCCATTGAGTGAACCGATTTTGATGATTCTTTTTTTTTTTTAAACGCTGGTGCTTCCCATTTGGTCGCATATTAATTTCATTGGTATTGAATCTTGTGCTCCGGAGATACGAAGGGAACTCTTGAAAATCAATTATGAAATGAATACAGTGCGAGATATTTGAAGTCAGTTTTGTTTTTCGTTAATAAAAAGATGGCCTTGTTGTATATTTTACTGGTCACGCTTTCAGTTTGTACACCTTAGCATCACGTCGCTTGAAGCTTAAAGATCAGCACATAATTACTTTTTATCCCATCATGTCCTACCTATATGTATCAAAAGTGGGATTAAGAGATCCAGATAAATATGTTTACTACGTGTTTAAAAAGTTTATGACCACAAAATTTTAAATTATTGGGATTTTAAGTAATTGTTGGGTAAATTAATAATTTTAATGAAGCATCTAGTGTTGACCATAAAATCATTTTTTATAAACTGTTGTCTAAACGTCAAGTGTATGATTCATAGATGAACCTCATCATGGAGAAATATTAACACTAGATAACGCGGGCATGTATTGGTGTTTGTTGGTCACAAACACCAATACATGCCCGCGTTATTTAGTGTTAAGAATTTTGGCTACCCTTCTTTTCTTTGTTCCTCGCTTGTAACAACCTCTATGGCCGATAGTTAATTTGAAGATAAATTAAATAATTATAAATACATAAAGATTTTCATGCATTGTAATCCACTTCTGAGCTATGGTGCAAATTTCAAGAAACTACCTCGTCAGGATGTTAGTTTAAAATCAATTACAAATTCCAACCGAACAGAGATACAAGAAAGCGAGTTAATAAAAACATGATAAGAAATAGATTCTTTATCAAAGGGTTATTTACATTTACGGAATGGAGTCTTAGTTGGTAAAAACATTAATTATTGAGATGAGTATGAAAATTTGCATGTTGTAGAAACAATAACAATAATTACTATCGCACATGCATAATTTCGGTCAGCTGATAATGCTATCAAAACGACATTGGTTCCAAAACTTTGTTGATGCATTTTTAGTGAGTAACAAGTGTTACAAAAGCTATGAAAAGTTAAAAGGCAATATAGACGGCCCGTTGCCACTTCAGCTTTCTGATCTTCTGGGCTATGTCGGTTATCTTTGTCTTTGGATATCTTAACTGCGAACTGTACCGCGCATCGAAATATCGAGCATAGTCCGCTCCATAGCGCTTAGTGATTTGGAACTTCCTATACGGGCAGAAATGAAGAATGTGATCTTTGTCTATACATGGAAGATATTTGAGAAAAACTATTATTGGGGGCCTTTATCAACGCAGTAGAACCCAAAACAATGATTGTTAACATTTTTGTATGTTTGTCTGTTTATCTGTTGGTCTGTTTGTCTGAGCGTTTGTGCGCGCTAATCTCAGAAACGGCTTAACCGATTTGGGTGCAACTTCACTGATGCATTGTAGTGAGCTTCACTTAATATTTAGCGTTAGTTCTATTTAAATCGGTTCATAAATAACAAAGTTACATCCACTTAAAGAACCACATTGAAGATTCATGCAATAAAATGCTATATAATAGCTACAGTCGAATTGGATGAAACTATAGTTAACTATATATTATGGTCTGTAATATTATGATGGTTGTAAGTCGGACTCACGCACGAAGGATCTTTTTAAGCACAATATAAAATGTACTACAAACAGGCGAAAAGCTAGGATTTCGGTTTTAGTACCTCTAAAACCCATCTGGGGAAGAAAGGTTCTTCAGTGGCACCATCGTAGTGAAGACTAGACAACTACACAATGTGACGACCTGTTCAAATTTGCGGGAAGTCGATGGATGCAGGTGGTTTACTATCGTGCTTCGTGACAGTGTGGGAGAGGCCTATGTTCAGCAGTGAACTAGAACAGGCAGAACTAAATGTTAAAGGTAATATCGTCCAACAAGTATCGCTTTTGAATTATTATTTGAATTATTAGTATTAGTAGTATTTTTTGAATTATTAGTACGATTAATAATTCATGACATCAATTGTCCCAATTGTAAGCGATTGAGATTTAAAAAAAAAATAATTTGTTTATTAACTTTAATTTTTAAGCTTTCATCTTTGTTTATTAATTCGCCAATCATGTAAGTCGATCAACGAATCTGTTCTATAATTTCAGACAGATAAGCATAATAACATTTAACAGTACATTTTTCAAACAATTAACAACTTTCTTCGACTTCATTTTTTTATTTCTTCGCCAGATCGAATTTTAAAAAAATGCGAAATTTTAAGCTGTACTAGCAACTTGCTTCGGCTTCGCACAGGTACAATTGGGATACTTTCGCTTGTGGTTTTGACTATAAATCAAAAAAAGTAGAAGTATTTCGGTCTTGGGATACAAACATAAAGAAAAACTTTTTTCGGCCAGGAACTTTCGCGAGCTTACGTAAAACAAAAAGCGAATCAAACGCACAGAGGATAATATAGATTCATTTTTATTTACACATAATAAAGTCACTAAAGTTGAACCAACATAATATGGCGATCTGAGGATGTTAGCAGAAGCAAAGTTTGAATTCATCTTCATCTCAAAGGCATTTATTATCAGCCTTATAATCCCCAAGTATCTGTTTAAAACCGGATCGCGAGAGGGCTTTTTTCAAACTCATCTTTGTTTCTATCAACCAGTTTCCCCTTTAAATCTCTTTGTTTCAAAACTTGGCCATTAAATGGCCATCTTATCTCTCGATATTGTTAGAAGACCTGACATGAAATAGTTTCATAAATAAATATAAATAAATAAATATTTTAGGACACATTTTTACACAACATTCTCTAGTCCCAAACTAAGCAACGCTTGTACTATGGGTACTAGAAAACTGATAGACGTACTTAAACATACTTTTTTTTGTAAATAAATACACATTATACATATGTATAAACACCCAGACACTAGAAAAACACACATTTTTCCAGTAGTGGGGATCGAACCCACACCCTCTGGCGCAGAAGGCAGGTACACTACCGACTACGCCATCCGGGTCGTCCAGAGTATAATTGTGTAACTTTGTATCTATCATAATAATATATCTTGTAATTTATTTTTACCCATATCCAGAGACGCATATAATTAAGAAGCTAGCAATAACAGTAAAACTGATGATAAGGCAATAATACCATAATCATTACCTCCCACCTGGTAACTTCACCAGGACCTGGCAAATTATATAGATCGTGGTAACTTACTTCAGTCTGTTTACCGAGAAGTACGCATCACTCAACTGTGATGTATTTCACTGTGAAATACAGGCTTACCCTAACGTAAGCCGTATTTTGTAGTGTGCATTCATTAATTCTTTTGAAAAGAAACAAGTATTTACGCAGGTAAAAAGTCATACTTTAGCGTAACAAGAGAAAAACAAGTAAACATTTTATCCCCTGTGCCTTAAGTAATCGTTGTTTGGGATAAAGACATTAAATGCATTTGATAACGGTTTAATTAAATAACTTGAATTATAGGTAAATGTCAAAAAGTTGTCATGGTAATCCCGTGAAGTTGGTCGGAGTTGGTCGCTTTGCAAACAACTTCTTAATGTCGCTTTTTGGCTGTTCGATGTGCGCGCGCATTGAAAAACTTTATTTTTTTTCCATAGGCACCAAAAGAAGTATAACTTTAATAAAATTACGGTTCCTTTAAATTTAAACATTAAAGGGAACTCACTCCTGCCAATTTTCATGAGGCAGAGCTCCGTGTTTTCGGCTTCGTGGTCACCATTTGCAGTATACGCATAATCGTCCATAGATACAGCAGAGCTTACTCCATCACGGCACGCACTGGAGTCTATTTCGGGATCTGCTCTAGGCGCCAGCGGCTTCCAAAGTTCGCCAAGACGAAGGCAAAACGTCTTTAGTTCTTAACAATTGGGAGCTAATTGACGTCAACTCACATATTTTGGTATACGAAAACCTAATGACCAGTTGCCGGAATGACGAAAACTTAGTGACCAATTGCTCTGACCTTTCAAATTGTTGCACCAATGCGCTTTGCCATTGAAAGCTGTTCATTCGATCAAATTTAGATGCTATGATGATATTTTATACTCCAGTGATTATTTTTGTACTGTTTGTCTGAGCAATTGTGTGTATTTCGTTACTTTTTAGTTACTTTGCTTGATATCGCAAAATTATTATTTTGATGTTTTTGTTACTTTTCTTATTAATACGTGAATAACATTGACCAATTATCAATATTAAATAGGCCCATTGGGACCATTTTGTGACCAATTCAATTTTTCGATACAAATTATTTGAGATCCGATCTCTAGGATTAATTTGAGCAGCCAATATTTTTCATATGTCCTTGGAATTTTAAACTATCTGTAGTTAAGTGTCAATTCTTTTGACCGATTGCTAAAAATCACTAACCGTTTATGACCATTTTGTGACCAATCCAGACCACGTTTAAGAGATCCATCATTTGAGTGGCTTATTAGATTCGGCCGTATTTTTTTTTATGTCTTAACATCTTTATTGTCTGTGTATTTGTGAGATGAATAGCTGTGTAAATTTCGTTCTAGTAAATCTGCTATCATAATCATTTTTAAGTATTTTTAAAGTATATAAATCTAATTAATCATAGTAATATCCGCCTGAATTGAAAAAGAAAATCGAAAACCAGTAATTATTTACAAAGCTTATAACACCGTATCAAAAATAATACCAAATTTAACCATTTTTTTAAAATGCTTAGAAATGAACCTGTGAGGTTGCTGGAAGTCTTTCGGTCTGCACACAAGTGTAACACAATATTTTATAACACTGTTACATTTCTATACAAAATACAAAACAATAAATACTAATACGTTGGGAATGAGATAACACGTTTGATAGAAAAGGCTTTGACCCTATCGGGTTATGTGTAAAAGAGAACAATCTACACACAATCTACCCGCTATTAATTGATGAATAACTCTTTGTACCGCTTATGAACGCACATCTCTTAAGCTAAGTGGAGAGCATTCCGTTTCTATATGCCCCTTCTGTTAGCTGCTCTTAAATCGACAGTATTGTATATTGGTAATTTACACTTGCTTTCGTTTAAATTTATTCGGATTCGCGAACTTTCTAAAATTCCTTTTAAGAAATAGCAGTAGTTCTAGTTTTAACAATTATTATAAATTTATTTAGTTCAAATTTTTAGCTTGTATTACTTTATACTTTATTTGGAACGACTGCTGTGTAGGTTTTAATAAAAAAAATAAACCTTCTCTATTATTGTATATCGGCGAATATTGCCATGAAAAATAAGGATAAAAGATAAAATAAAGATAGTAAATCGATGGTCCCTAGGTGAAAGTGAAAAATGCAACTTTTCAGGAGAGCGATTTAAAGTTTATTTTTTGCATAACTTTGACATTTATGATAAGAACTTCATAAAAATTTGGATTCACAGTTGTATTGGGCTTATTAATTATTACGTCATTGCAAAAATCGATAAAGTAAGTTACGATAGTATACAGTGTAAATGAACTTGCTTTATGAATCGAAACTGGCACTTTAGATTATTTACAGGGAACCGCATATACACAAATGTATCGAATCTGCCGATTTCGATATTTTACGTTGGCTTATGTTAGGAATATTTTATTGAAAGTGTCATATTCGATTATTTACTTCGTAGATTGCTTGCACTTACAATTATTTTGTAATAGAAAAACAAGAAAATAAATTACGTAAAACATCTTTATTAAAGTGTGTTACAAATTAAACAAATGTATAAATTGTTGATGTAAATAATATTTAAAATCAGTCTTTGTTACCAACTTATCTATGGTAAAATTTAGGAAACAAACAAAAATGTAGGACTTCATTGGTAGATACGTAATACTAATTCAGAAAAAATATTCATCAGAATAACTAATCTCGAATTTCTGTCTTAACAAAAAATATTATAGTATTTACATCATACATAGAGAATACAGAAAAATATCTTAGTAAATGAATATTACTCATCGGACTCATCAATATTTCAGATGAAAAGAAAAATCCGTTGCCGTAAAACCTATGAAATATCATTATTTTTTGGGTATTGTTTATGAACGACATAAAGAAATCAAATCTTTATACTTTGCTACTGGTAAAAGTAGTGAATCTGAATAAAGATTTTTTAAGAGGTGGTAGGACCACGCAGCAGCCTCGGCTGTTGCACGAATGGGCAGGCTCGTCCGGGTAAGTACCACGACCTCACAGAAGACCGGCGTAAAGTGGAAGTATAATACTTTCGTGTTTCGTCTGGTGAGTTAGGTGGCCGGAGCCCAATTTTCAAAAGGTTGTCAACGCATCTTGAACCCTCGGGTGTGGCAGATGTCCATGGGCGGCGGTAATCACTTAACATCAGGTCACCGATCGAACGACGTAGGCCGACACATTCTCTTTTTGCGGCTTCTTGTTTCTATAGTAGTATTTACACAAAAATAACACTTCAAATCACATTTAAAATACAATCTGGTTCCTCTTTTCTTACACTAACATCTTTAATGCTGTTCCACTTCCCATTTTCATTTGTATTGTCTCTTTTCCAATTTTTGTCATCTAATAAAAATTAAAGTCGTAAAGATCACTCTTGGTTTCTTCTACAACGTTGTCGGGTCTCCGTTCAGCCTTTGCCCGTCGTACTAATGCGTACGATCATCGGTTAAGAGCGTAAATTAGTTTTTTCTTAGATTATCTCTCTATGTGGACGTGTACACTATCGCCCTCGATCTAAGTATGGCCTTGCTCTAAACAACGATGAGCAATATCTACGCCAAATCGTCTTGAAAACTGCATTTATAACGAATATACGATTCTATTCCTATTCTGGCCCACAAAATTATCGGACCAAGTAAGAATTTCTTAGCACCCTGATCTATCATTTGCGTTTAAATAATGCTTCAAACAGCTAATGAAGTAACATTAGCTCCTCTTTTACCGGTACTTTCTATGCACATGTGCTACATGAGGATACGAAGTACTGGTACCTTCTTTAAAAGCTAAATCGAAAACAGCCAACGAAAGTTACATACAAAGTAAAATAAAAAAGCTAAATAGAAAGAAAATTTCAGCTTATAATAAAACAAACCAATGTCTCGTGAGTATGGATGAATACATAAGCCATTTAAAAATGTTTACACATAAACCTGTTGTGGTGTAAATGTGCTGGTAAAAAAATATTTGGACATAAGTTGTTTCTTGGTTTTATTAATTTTATGGGTGAACTTATTGATAAACTCCCATTGCCTACCTAGTATGATTTCCTTTCCATTTCGACTGAGGTATTGCTGACCAGAACTTTCGTTTTTACGGGATACCTTGATCTTTTTTCCGGAGTTAGTTTTAAAAATGGGTTTTCTTTCTTTTCCTGTACTCCTACTGCTACATACTCATATATAACAGTTATGTATGAGTCTGCACTTGGTAACTATGTTATAGGTTTAGCATAATCCTCACCTAACTTTTAAGACCTAACTCTAAAGACTCTAAATGTTCTCCATTTTGACTTCAGGTAATAATAGTATTACCTCAAGTCAAAGTGACGAACAAGACCCCTATTTATAGAATACTATTTCTTGTACGGGAGACCCGACTTCTGAATCTGGGGAAGGTAATAGAGTTATTTCCCTGCTATTCATGAAAATTGATGAACTTTGGTCACTGTCTTCGATGATAACCGAGTTGCATGGGAAGTTAAACTGTGGTTGTGTCCATCAATTCATCGTCCAAACAAATCCTTTATATTTTTCCAATCATTGAAGACGCAGTTGGTGGGTATCGGTGACTTTAAAAAAAGTAGAAGGTAAGTAGGTAAATTAAATAAAAATAATAAAAATATTATTTAAGAAAGTCTAGTTTTATGAATCACAGAAAATAAATATTATAAGTAAGTTTCTTCACTTTAATATAAGCACTTACGAATCGAATCTTTACAAAAAAGAAATAAAACCCACCCAAAACAATCGAAAGTGGCACTTCCAATTGAAATTTGACTTTGTAATACAACGTAAAGTATCGAAATCGTCAGTTTCGATAGAATTATATTATGAAAAAACCACGTAGGTAATCGAAACCGGTACTTTCGATACTATTAGGAATTTACAACCCGTCATAAACAATCGAATCTACCCGATTCGATATATTACGCGGGAGGGTAACTTTCTCATCACACAATATATTTTATTAATAGAGAATTAAAAAACCATTAACAAAATAGCTATAAGAATTTTGCACGCCAGGCGCGCATCACTGCGGCGTAAACTAGCGATAGTGGTAGTTCCGTCCTTGTTTCACACTCGCCGATGCAGCGTAATCTCGCGAAAGTTAACATTCGTTGTTTTACTCCGGATAGACTGTTACTTTTCGTTATTATACGTTTATAAAAACCGCATACACAACGACTTTTTAAAATTTTTGAAAAACCTTGTTACAAAATTACTATTATTGAGATCTCAAAACAGCAATAAAAAAAATTGCAATTTTGTAGATTCGATACTTTACCTAGGGACCATCGAAATATCAATTTTATGAAAAATTTTGATAATATAATCTAATTGAGAAATTAACGAAATAACCATTTAAAACATATTCTTCAATTTAGTTTTTTTGTCTGTGCTTGCTCAACTGCAATAAAGCAGACGTCCTCCAAAGGCATCACCAGGGCAGGAGAAATAGCTAGTCGATTAAGTTTTCCCTAGGCCGTATAAAAAACGGGCGCCTATAAATAAAAGTTTGAGCAGCCGCGTCCGAACGCATCCGCGGCGGCGTGGGGGCGCAGTCGCGATGCGCGCGCCGTCCGATCGCGCGCTCTGCGCCGCCTCACTGCTGCTGTACTCTGCGCTCCTGGTACTCGGCCACCAGGAGGAGAGGGGCTACCACGCGGAGAACGGGTACCACGCCGAGGACCGCTACAGCCACGAGGACGCGATCGATGTGTGAGTGATGGGTCCGGTGACCCCAGGTGTAAACGGATCTCTGATTAGCTGTGATGGATGCTTAGCTAGTGCGTTTCTTGGACCTCTATTATGCTAGTTTTCCGAGCGCCCAAAGGCGAATATTCATTTCCCGAAGCGAAAATTAAAGCCAATATTAAAATATTTTCACATAATATGTATATACAGAGAAGACTTATTAATCATTGAAATCTTATATTTTTCTTTCGTCTACTTCTGTTGATAGTTGCACAGAATTTCTAGTAGTAGTATATTTGCTTGACATGTCACATAATTTTTTTACATGAGTTATTTGCGGATTTAATTGCGGAAAGCACTGTGGCTAGAAAATATCGCGTAAACAATTCGTGTTATCCCTTAAATATTTTTTTTGACACATCAATTTGAGGAAACAACAGTCGTAAATCTCTGTGCAAATTTCTGGTCTAGAGACGATATTTTTAACTTTGCGTAATTTCAAGGGCAGTATTAGAAGAAATATTTAAAATTTCTTAAGACTTTCGTGAGACTTTAGAAGATAATGTATTTAAATTTGTAGATATCTTAAGTGCAGAGATTAGCACTATTAAAAAAAATAATTAGATAATGTATTATAATGCATTATTACATATGAAAGCCTTTCCAAATGTGCTGAACACAGTAGTACTTATGGTTATTGTTATCCAAACATTCTTTTGATATTAACATAATTGCGGGATTCTGTGGATGGAATATTAAAATATGATAAAATACGTGAACTATTTAATTTCTTGGCATATCATTTAATTTTACTTTTATCATTGTTTTATCAAACAGATCTTGTGACGTTTTGTAGCGAGTTTTCAATTTTTCTTATGAGAATAATTATTACAGTCTTCAAAAATATTTTATCCACGTGTTTCGTCAACTATCTTTCAATATTTTTCAAAATAGTTTCCCATAAATCGAAATATCGAAAACTTTCAAACATTATTTTGATTTTATAGATTTGCGCTTTTCTTTCGTTGGAACTAACTTAAGCAGCAATTTAAAATGACTGTTCGACTGTCGCATTCATATCGACGTTAGATCGTTATAATGTACAGAGTATAGCGAAGATAATGCATAATTCAATTTAGAAGGAAAACCGATGTGTGGTGACAATTAGCGCAGTTTAAATGTACATACTTAATACAGACATGTATTTAACTCTGATGAGTAATGCGCTAGACAATGATGGCATTTCTAACTTGAAACAGCCTTGAATAGCAGAAGAATATGTTGTTGTAAAAAATTCAGTGTTCCGGCCTTTAAATATTTAGTATCATCTATCACGAAACCTGTGAAAAGGCTTGTTTTCAAGTATTGGATATCTCAGAGTTGACATCGTTTATGGTATATTTGAATCGAAGTTAATGGCGGATTTGGTCGGCCTTTGCAACAGACTTTTTGGACTAAATTTTGAGAACATTTTTTTGAGGTTACATATTATAATTTTGTGTGGTTTTAATGTGCTAAATTGTACATATACTATTTATATATTTGTTTCTTCTCGTTATAGGTGTTACGCGTACTATATACCTACACCAGGATAGCAAGAGATTTGCATTCATTTATGATGTCATTTTGTGGTGACCGTTTATAAAATAGTGTTCATTATAAATTATTTATCATACTGCGAGTTTTGGAATTGAGAAATCAAGTTAAACTAAATGTTGTTTGGTACATTAAACAAAGGTTGTACAATAAATGTACCTAATTCATAAAATTAGTCTCGTCTTATCTTCTAACTAAAGAAGAGGACTTTAAAAATGGTTTCTTACAATTTTGTGAATAGTACACATTATTCTGTAATTATTTTAAGGTCTCAATCGCTTGCATTTTTCTATTTTCATCCCCATTTCTCGGATTTTTCGCAGTATCCACTGTCACGTCGTAAACTGAGTTGTTCGCCATTCTCAACTTTCCCTTCGACTGACAGCTTATAAGCCTAATTGTAGGAGCCTCGCAATGACTTCTGCTGTTGCACGAATGGGCAGGCTCGTGGTGGAAGGTACTACGGCCTCACAGAAGACCGTTTGATAAGTGAGGTAACCGGGGCCCACTTTATTTAAAAGCCGTCAACGCATCTGCATGCCCTCAAGCGTCGTAGATGTACCTACATATGCTGCGGTGATTGAAAACTTTTATAAAAAAAATATATTAATTTATTAAGAAATATAAATTTTAGATTAAATAAGAAACTAGACGTACGATTTTGTTGTCTTCAACTTTAATTGAATTAAGAACCTATGACATAAAGACCAATGACATTACAGTACTTATTAATTAAAACCTGGTGCCAGTAAGACTGGTGTCAAGTGTTTGTCTCATAAAAGAATATTATCTCATGGTAAAAAATGCACAATTCTAAAGGTTGTACGAAGTACCTACCTGTTCTATCACTACATAGTATAAAACAAAGTCGTCCCGCTGTCTGTCTTGCCCCATGTATGCTTAGATCTTTAAGACTAGACAACGGACCTTGGTTCGGTTTTTTTACTAGATACAGTGGTTCAAGAGGAAAGTTTATAATTATGTATAATACATTAAACCCGTGCGAAGCCGGGGCAGGTCGCTGCTACTTAGATATGGCTGTCTTTATTTTTGGGTTATTATAATAGTCATTGATTATTAGGTCACTGTTGTATCTAGTATTAAATCGACGGTATAGTAAAGTAACGGCCAATACATCTCCCACTGCTGGGCAAAGGCCACGCAGCCCCATTGGCCAATTTCACATATCTTCTAAACATTTTTTATTATTTCGAAAATATGCAGATTTACGACGTTTTCCTTCACCACTGAGCACTTGATAAGTCAGCACTTAAACTTGACAATTTCATTGGTGCTGGCGGTATAAAAAAGTTACTTTCGCGATCTCACAAAGCGCTTAGCTCATTGCGAGCTGTCCGAGACGCCTCGAATGCGGTTCACGAAAGCCGCACGCAGGGCCAGATTTAGAGGTCTGGAGGCCTCGGAGTAACAAAGTAGTGGAGGCGCTTTGCCCCCAAAGATTTCATTTATTTATTTATTTATTTAAGCTTCATTGTTACACCTTAAGCTAAGGGCTACAATGAGCGGACTTAATGCCTAATGGCATTCTCTACCAGTCAACCCTTGTCATGGTAAAAAGTACATTTTCTATTAATTTATGTTAATATTTAATGTAATCATGTTTGTACAAAGAACTGTAGGTGAAAGTAAAACGGAAAAAAAAATGAAAGAAAAAGTTGTTTACTAGTGTTTGTTAGTCTGAATTAGAATTTTTTTCCGAAGTTTCTATTGTGGGGGCTCCTCGTTTGTGGAGGCCCCGGGGCTGTTGCCCCGGTTGCCCTACCCTAAATCCGGCCCTGCTCGCACGGGTTCAATGCACCGCTGATGAATGGAACGCCGTGCAATTGTGCGGTAACGCGTCGGTAGGTGCGTAAGTTTGTGACGCCGCTATAAATAGTGGTTGGCAGGCCTCTTTGAACCGCTTCTCTTCTTGGAAGTGGCCGCCCCGAGATCGACCGATGTGCGTGCACTAGGGATGTTGAAAGTGAATAAATATATCGATATTTATAAGAATGTCATTTTCAAAGCGTTGATATATCGAAGAGAAATTATCGATATGTTGACATATCAAGTGTGGTAGGACCACGCAACAGTGTTCACTGTTAAACGAATGAACAGACCCGTGGCTCACAAAAGACCAACGTAAAGTGAGTGAAGTAGCCGGGGCTCTCTTCATTTAAAGGTCCATTTGCAACCCTTCGTGTATTGCAAATGTCCATTGGAGGTGGTTATCACTTAACATCAGTTGAATAGCTCCTAAAAAAATCTCACAAAAAAAATAACGCATCGTGGTCCTAGAAACCCTTTTATCCCAAAATGTTATGTCAAATATTCAATACCTTGGGACTCTGTCCTGGATTCGAATTCGAAAAATTATTGTTTTTGATACGATATTCGATATTGAATATTTTGTATCGATATATCGATATTTTGTCCACATGCCTAGCGTTCACTTGACAAGTCAGTTACCGTCTTAAGTAACCGTGGTTTATAATCAAAGGCGGCGTTGTTTAAAATCAACTAACAATAAGGAACACAAACTGAAACTTGGATTATTTGTCCGTATTTGCTACAGGAAGCATTTACTTCTGTTAACTATTGCGAGTAAAATCGAAAATGGCGGCCCTCTTTGATCGACCAAATGTTTGCACGTCACTAATATTATACCAATATTTGACCGTTTATGTTGACAACCCTTTTTATAAATCTCCGATAGCGACGTGACTTATCGCCTCATTATGACATCATGGTTAGCGGGACGATCATTTGATAACACAGATATATGATCATTTTCGTACAACGTAAAACATTTGTGCAAATCTGCGTCACTGATGTACCTACCAACAAAATCACATATATGTGTATATAGTTTTTTTTATGTGAAAAGTTGCCAAACGAGCAGACGGTTCACCTGATGGTAAGTGAATACCGCCGCCCATTGACATCTGCTACACCTGAGGGTCAGATGCGTTGACCTTTTGAAAATTGGGCTCCGGCTACCTCACTCACCAGACGAACGAACTCCTTGCGAATAAACACCCAGATCCGGAACAATTATCCGAAAGTCATACAAATATTTATCCCGTGTGGAAGTTGAACCCACGACCACCACTGGAGCCAATAGCTTGGCAACTTCGTTTTTAAATTTTTCATAGGTGATATCATGAGAAAAAATCGTCAAATATATATCATTAGCTTTTCCATGCGATATCATCTGCGAGAGACGTTCGGTTTAGCCCTCGTCGATCGTAGCGTGATGTTAAATACCCCATAACCTTCCACTAGATTTGGGTTATCACATGCAAAACGTTTTATTTAATAGAACCAGAGATTAGCGCGATCTAACAAAGAAACAAACAAACTCTTCAGCTATCAAATGCTTTGAGTTTTTTTTTTAAATCTTTCGAGTAGGTCCAGAGATTGGCGCGTCCGAACAAACAAGCAGTTCAGCGGGCGTGTTTGCGAAATCTCGCGGAATCTGCAAAAATAGGGGGTTTTCAGGTACATTTTGCGGCAAAACGAAACGAATATAATGTAAGTAATAATTATCACATATAGATCCCTCCTTCATCTTCAAATGGTAGATAGTTTTTAATCGAAAATTTTGGTTTATAATATTGTAAATGAGAATTTTCGTGACCACTTCACTCAAATATGTATTCATGGACGATATCCTGTTGGGTTTAGGAACATTTTTCTCTTATATAATAACATATTTTTTTTATTTAAAAATATTTTATATAAGCACACATGTTCAACTCAAAAAGGTAGCTACATTACGTATCAAAATTGTTGAAATTAGTTTCAGAAAAAAATAAAGATTAAAATCTATTTCTTTCACATTTATATCTTACGCGTGAATCTTAAGTGATTGACATAAAGGTTATTTTACTGGTCACTTTTTTGATTTATTCCACAAAAATATTTAAAGAAATATTAGTCGGCGCTCGGCTGCCGTCATGAGTGGTCACTATGTCGCTTATAAACAGCAGCTCGTGAGGAAAAAGATCGCTGTACGAATACAAAATATTTGTCGTAACAAAGTTGATACTTTACACATCACGTTCGGACTTCGGACTACGAACGACAAAAGTAAACTATAATTCACACTTTGTCATATTTTTGCTAGAATTTAGTAGGGGTTAAAAATTCATATTTCGTTACGGACTTGATGGAGTGACCTGAAGGTGTACTTCGAGAACTGCTACTGGAACTAACAGACGAGATGAGCTATGTGTGTCGAGTTTGGGCTTGTTTTGTTAGGTATGGTGAGACCTTGCCTTCTGACTTGATGGAGTGACCTGAAGGTGTACTTCGAGAACTGCTACTGGAACTAGCAGACGAGATGAGCTATGTGTGTCGAGTTTGGGCTTGTTTTTGTTAGGTATGGTGAGACCTTGCCTTCTGACTTGATGGAGTGACCTGAAGGTGTACTTCGAGAACTGCTACTGGAACTAACAGACGAGATGAGCTATGTGTGTCGAGTTTGGGCTTGTTTTGTTAGGTATGGTGAGACCTTGCCTTCTGACTTGATGGAGTGACCTGAAGGTGTACTTTGAGAACTGCTACTGGAACTAACAGACGAGATGAGCTATGTGTGTCGAGTTTGGGCTTGTTTTGTGAGTTTTTTTGAGACTTTACCTTTGAAATTGATGTATTGGCATGAAGGTGTAAGAATACAGTAAAAAAAGTTATTTAAAATATGGAACTATGTATTCTACATCAATTCTGTGTATATATATTTAAAAAAAATTGAAATTTAGATTATAATTATGAGTCAATAGAGTATAAATATAAGTCAAAGTAAATCACAAGTCAAAGTAATGAATTTTTAATATAAACATTCTACATTACTTAGACATGATTAAATATTTTAAATGTCTAATTTGACAGTGTACAGATTTTAGAAGTTTCGTTTAAATTTAAATACTCCGGGAGGCCTATGAACCTATCTGGTATTTTATTATAAATTATTATTTCCATGCAGCCAAATGTTGGCCAAAAATACACCACATGTAGAAAAGTTGTATGGATAATTAAAAATACAAGTAATACAAAACAAATTTGCACACTTGCAAATTGTAAGATTAGGCATGTCGAAAAGGTATTTTTTTTGTATATTTCAATGAATAGGTGTAATAAACATGTACTTCAAAAGTTTCAAACGACAGCTATGTGGCAAACTTTTTGTTTCACGTTTATGACCCCATTTATCGTTTATTGTTTTTTTTCGTGTTTCGCACTGATCAACTTTTATGATCATGGATTCTGCCTAAAATAATACTTAATTTTTTTAATGACTTGCAATCTTTTGGAACAAATGGTATCTATAGTAAGAACGTCTTTAAAATAGGCAAAACACGAAAAAAAAAAAAAAAAATAGTTATGTAAAAATGTAGTGGGTCTCAACTTAAATTATCAAAGACTTATTTTTATGGCACAGTTATCACATACAACATTTATACCTCTTATAACTCAATTGTTGTTTCAGATGCCAAAGCCTAAAACGATAAAATTTTAGCAGGCTACTACTTCGATATAGATAACAAAAATAATTAAATGATAGAGAACTATAAAGAAAAATCACAAAGATCCGACACAGAGCACCCCGAATCCGAAAGATTTGATTGTTTTTATGCATTGAATAGGCTCCTAAACCACTGAACAGATTTGAAAATTTCTTTTACTGTCTGGAAGCTACATTATCCCCGGATGACATAGGATATATTAAATTTTCAAAAAACTAGGAATCCTTACTAAAACTTGAATAATGTAACCCAAAGTGTACAAAAATTACCTAAAATATTGTTTGCATCGCGTGCGCTGCTAAAATAAAATAATGTACTACGAATTGCAGAACACATCATTATTTATAAAAAGTGTTGCGACAGTATATGTCTAACTATTATAGTAATGCCACAATAAGTATTCTTTTACTTTAAAATTTTGATTGAAATGCCGCCGCTAGAAAAGGCTCTTTATTCATATCTTGGTATTAATCCTTATAAAAATAAATTACTTTATATTTAAGACTGTTTCAATATCTTTATATAACTTTTTGAATGATTAAATTCGGACATTCCATTCGAAAGATATCACAAGTTTAAAAATGTTTAGTATATTGTAATTTAACTATCCAGAGCTTAGTGACTGACTTAGTAGTTCTTATCATTTTTGTAAATAAAATAATTTAATTATATATTATTAATTATAATATATATTAATTATTATATTATTAAAATATTATTATTTATTAACATAAATATAAATACCAAAGAAAAAAATACTGCATAATTAAATAATTATAATCGCCTAAGTTGATAAAAGATGCTATGCTATAGCTTTACCCCAGCTGAGCCGAGTGCGACAGGTTTTTTTTTATAAAAATGTTTTTTTAATTTTTACTAGTTTGTTTCCTTCGTTTTATTATTTCATTTTTAGTTTCTAGATACTAGCCCGGCTTCGTACGCCATGCTATTTCCAATTCATTTACAGAAAATTATTTTTTTTAACATTTAGCATGAATATTATTGAATCAGCAAAATGCATTCAGAATACCATACAAAGTATTTTACTCAATTCGTTAGCGGGTTTTACCTAATTATCTGCCTACATAGCTACCTTCCTACGTACCCTACCATTACCTACCTATCAAGCTATCTACCTACCGCACGCATAATCAAACATGTATAAAACAAGCTTCGTTTTCTTCATAAAAATTTATTAAAACATAAAATTAAATTATATACATAATTAATTAAAACGCAAATTATCAACAGCTACGAGCTTTTAAATGAAATTTAATAAATTATACCTAAATATATAAAATAATATTCAGTTTAAAAACTTGTTGAAAACAAATTTAACGTAAGCTTAAAAAATAAATGACTTCAAATTAAATAAAAGTATCAAGTTGCGTCAGTTACATAAAGTTTCGCTGCTTCGCGCTTGTCGCTGTGTGCGTGAGCCGTGCACGTGTAGTAGTACGCCTCTGTACCTAAAATTGAAGCGCGTGAATTCGTAAACGCTTCCTTAAGTACTAGCGACCAGCCGGGGGCACCCGTGCGAACCGTGTGTATGTATTATACACATAAACCTTCCTCTTGAATCACACTCTCTAGTAAAAAAACCGCATCAAGATTCGTTGCGTACATTGGGACAGGCAGACAGCGGGACGACTCTGCTTTATACTATGTAGTGATAGGTAGATTACTGAATGAATTTTTTGTTACATATCTATGTTCATAACCATTTTCTTCGTCCTTCAGGGCGGACAAGAGCGCAGTGTGCCCTACAGAGAGGCTGCTCCGCTCCAGAGACACCTGCCAAGTGGACGGCGCCGAGGCGCAGTGCATTCGGCTGAGCTGCTGCGACACGCACGCCTACATCGCTGGCCGGTGAGCGACAATATATTAGTTTTAGGGTTCCGTACATTAAAAGGTCATTTAAAATACTAAAAAACCCGATTGCGTGTCTGTGTAATTTTTTTTGGTATACACTGAGTATAATCACAGTAAATACGAATCTAACGACACATCTCAAGCTAAAATCCGTCAAGCCGACCAGGCTCCAGAGCGTGCCAAACAATCCGTCTGATTATTTACCAATTTTATTATTAATGGTTAGGTTACCTTACCTACCCTTACGAGTTCGACTCCCACTTGACCAGTTTTATTTTCATTTTGCATCGATTCAACATCTGTGTTAGGGCCACGCAATTCCGCTGTTTCGCGAATGGGCAGGTCCCTCCGGGAAGGCACATCGACCTAACGGAAGACCGGCGCGAAATGGAAGTGTTATGCTTCTTTCTGCGTTTCGTCTTGTAAGTGAGGTAGCCGGGGCCAACTTTGTTAAATGGTGGCAAAGCATATGCAACCCTACGCGTGTTGCAAATGTCCATGGGCGGCGGTTGTCACTTGCCACGTTATCGCATAAAATAAAAAATAATCTGAAACACCCGAGGGTTTGTCAATAAGTCAAAAAACCGGCCAAATCAGAGTCAGACTCGCACGAAGGGTTCCGTACGATTATCTATAAAGACGGCAAAACAGTCATGTCTGTTGTATGGGAGCCTCAATTATTTTTTATTCTGTTTTTCAGTATTTTTTTTGCTATAGCAACAACAGAAATACATCTGTGACAATTTCAACTGTCTATAACTATCACGGTTCACGAGATACAGTCTGCTGACAGACGGATAGACAAACAGACAGCGGAGTCCTATCAATAGGGTCCCGTTAGGTTTACCTAACATCAGGAGAACCGCCTGTTGGTTCGACCACTTACGAGTATCTTCACATAAAAACCATCGCTCTCGCCAGGTGCATTCCGAAGTCGGTGGACCCGTGCAGCCTGAAGCTGTGCGAGCAGGCGTGCGAAGTTAGGGCTGGCAGGGTCTGGTGCACATGCCACCCAGGGTTCCGCTTCCACGAGGACAACTACCGCAGGAAGTTGCAGCCCTACTGCGTCGGTGAGCTTACTTAAAAAAGTGCGAACACTCCTTAGTTAGGATGCTCCTATTTAGGGCGTGGGGGGAATTATTTCTATGATTCCATAAGCCGTTGTTGGCTTGTTTTTTAACCGACTTCTCGGAGGAGGAGGAGGTAGATAACTAAACATACTTTTCTTTCGTAAATATTATAAATATATAAACACCCAAACCACTGGAGAATATCAGACAACATTTGCCGGTTGCATCTAAAAAGGCAAACGGATAACGGAGTGAGGTGGCCGAAGCCCAACTTTCAAACGGTTGCCAACGCAACTGCAACCCTCGGGTGTAGCGGTTGTCCATGGGCGGCGGTATCCACTTAACATCAGGTGCTGCCTTCCTCCAGACGAGGACGAGTGTTCCGTCAACAATGGCGGCTGCGAGCAGCGCTGCGTGAACGACCCTGGCAGCTTCCACTGCGATTGTGCGCCGCCTCTTAGCCTGGCCCCGGACGGAAAGAAGTGCATTCGACGCGTGGCGCTAGCGATCCCGGTATGTATTTCCAACAGACTTCAAAAGGAGTTCTCAATTCGACTGTATTTTTCCTTTGTGTTTGCTACCTCATAACTTTCGATTTTGATGATTCTTTATTTATTTGATAGCTGGTGCTTCCCATGTGCCATATTAATTTCATTGGTATCGGATCTTGAACTCCTGAAAATCAGTTATAAAATGAATACAGAGCGAGATTTGAAGTCGATTTTATTTTTCGTTATAAAAATAACTTCTCTGCTATAAAAGCAGCTAGTAAACAGGCATATAGTGGCATTAGCTGCCCACATGAAACATTAAGGTTGTTAATGTGTAATTGTTTTGTAGTTGTAATTGAGAAAAAAAAATTATTTTTTGAGATTCTGTGCCTTCCGGGTAATGCGCCTAGAAGCTCTTGAGGTTAGGCGGTCGATGATCTTACAGTGCGAAAAGTCTAATGTCTAAGGTGATATGTCTACTTTTTTAATCGTATTTTAGCAATGCGTGGCGCCATCTAGCGTGCATGATGTACATCATACCAACACTTTTCAAATCATATTTTACAATGATTATCTGAAAGAGAGATGTCGCCTTTGCTTACAACAATTCAGGCCGTACGCTGTAGGGTCTATGAGGTAAAACTAACAGTGAGAATCCAGCACCATTAAGAATCTCTATATAATGATTTCTCAAGTGTTTTTGTGGGTTCGCCATAATTATTCATCAGATTTAATGACTCAAAAGTCATTTTATAGCTTTTGGTTGCCGTTATTGACCAAAATTAGAATAAAGTTACTACATACAGCGCCTTAACCAAAAAAATGTAAGATAGTGCCATCTATTGACAATTTATTTTAATGAAAGATAGCGACTGTTGACTGTTGTTCTTCGAAATGAGATGCCTTTCATGTTTAAATACTTTTTCATATGATTTCATTACAAATCGTGATTAAATCATGTGATCACGCCAAAGATTTCGCAAGGCTCAACTATTTCATCTTTGTTTGGTCACTACTTGTTTCTTTTGAAACGGCGCTGTATATACCATCGCGACAATAAATGAACACACGTCTAACGCTACTTGCCAATAATCATAAAAAAATATTAACGTTAAACAAAATCCATAATTAAAAAAAAATATTTTTCAAATAAACTAATTAAGTAAAAAAGAAACAAAATTTGTAACATCCTATACAACTCGCGCCACAGCGTCGTATTACAAGCCTCTTCTTCTAATAGTATGTTTTGTCTATTTGAAATTCATTCAACCCATTCGTATGCTTTGTGACCTTTACAAATGAACTTTACGTTACAATTTTATAGGTAAGGGTGTTCTAAAATTCTTTGTTTTGGAAAATTTAATAACTCTGTAAATAATGATGTTTAAAGAATGTAAATATTTAATACAATTTTAAAAAGTTATCCCCTATATATGTGTTCATTTATTGTGGCGATTGTAAAGACACGCTGTATATTGCATATACAACGGCACGTCGTATTAGGTCGTATTATATTCTTTATTTATTTAATCTTTATGGACACATTGTGTCATTTTCTATCAGACAACCTTAGGGTGTTTTCTTGCTAATAAAATCTTGACTACTAGTTTCGATTGTTTTCTAGGAGCCGTTGCCGCTGGTGCGCGCGTCCTCCAGATGCTACGCGCCGTGCGACACCGTGTCGTGGCTGTCGCGGAAGGTGAAACAGCTGAACGACCAGCTGCACACGACGCAGCTGGCGCTCATAAAGCTCCTGGAAAATCCAGTGCTCAAGGGCGAAGGTGAGCAGTTGTAACCTAAACACAGTCACACGCACCTATTTCTCGATGCGCTTTTGGCCAATTTGTATAGTGACATGGAATATACATATACGCAGTTGCTAAAGTGGCTTCGGCGTCCGTCGTGGGTTCGATTCCCACACGGGACAACGATTTGTGTGACCAGCAGATAGTTGTTTCGCATCTGGGTGATTGTCCACGTGAAATTTATGTTTGTATAAACACCTTATAACACAGTATAATGTTATCCTAAAGTAAGGGTAATGTTTTAAAAAAAAGAAATATACATCTGTTACTTGGATAGGCTAAACCAGAATTGCGTCGAACTTAGGAAATCAAAGTTTCAAATCAGAAACTTTTCCCTAAAATCACCTAACTTATCTTTTGGAATCGCATAAAGGTGGTATAAATTCGTAAGTGGATTCTTCTTGAAAACGTTGTAAAAGAGAGAAATTTAAGTGTGCATATCCAAATTCGGGGAATTTATATTTAAAAGTAACCAAATTAATATGAGTTTTCGATACAACATTGCAGACGCAGATAGGTTCGCGGAGGGCACATTTACGTATAGGGTGCTCGACTCTACTGCTCCTTTGGAGGGAGGTTACTGCCGGTGCGAGAGGGGACCCAGGGTATATATAATAACCTTACCTCAGTCTATAGGCAGGGAGACTTCTATCAAAAGTTTGCATGTTTACTACAACCGAGGGACGTCTGTATGTGCTATTTATTTATGTATGTACAAGCTATCAACTTTGGTGATTCCGTGGCGCGATTGCCAAGGTTTTGGTACCGAGGGTCGTGCGTTCGATTACCACACAGCGCAACTATTTGTGTGACCCACAGATAATTGTTTCAGATCTGGAAGTTTATGTATGTAAAACGTTCTTACAACACAGGACAATGTTATCCTTTGTCAGTGTTTAAAAACATGTCAACTCGTAAACGGAGAAGATGATAGACCTTTTAACAGCCTGATATAATTTAAAGGTGGGCTAAAATAAGACTTATATACCTGAACCATTATATTGTAAACTGATCTTTTTAGAAAAGAGCAACTGTTGAGTTTCCTGCCGGTTTCTTCTCAACAGAAACTGCTTTCCGAACCGGTGCTAACTTAAGAACGTATTAATTTTTATATTCAATTTTGCCTGTATTTGAATTTCTTTATTGAGTCGAGACCTAACCCTTTATCTAGACATGACCAAATGTCCCCAGGGCCCCCCGGGGCCGGCGGGCATGGAGGGCCCCAAAGGCGACACGGGCCCCCGCGGCCCCAGGGGCGCCAGGGGGCCCAGGGGCTCCTTGGACCTGATGCTGCTCCTCATCGCCGACCTGAGGCACGACATCCGCAACCTGGAGGCGCGCATCTACAAGGACGGCGAACAGTAAGCGCCGTATATTTAAGTCAGGCTTGGCGATTAACACCTATCAGGATATCGATAGACCTGCTCTTTATAAAAAGTAAAGTAAGGTAACAGCCTATACATATCCCACTAATGGGCAAAGGCTTCTGTACAGAGAGTTTTTAGGCATAGTCCGCCACGCGGCCCCGCTGCGGATTAGCGGACTTCAAATATCATCGGGGTCGAACTCAGGTTGCTCGAGTGTATTAAAATTAAGGCGAACGCCCAGACATACATCGATATTGAACGATTTTGATCCGATATATCGATATATTGATCCGATATATACATATAAAATTTTTAAAAATCGAAAGCGCATCAAAAACTTTTTTTCAAATTCGAATCCGGGACAGAGTTCGTACATTCAATATATCGATTTATCGAGGCCGATATTGATTGTGTGACCCACAGGTAACAGGTTCCGGATCTGGATGTTTGTTCCCGAAGTGGGTGACAGACGCGGCCGGTAGTAAAACCCTATCAAATATAATCAACAACATGAACAATTGACATGTCGTGCCGACCCCACCCTAGGTGGAGAAGGCAGGAGAAAGAAGAAGTAGTATTAGGCGTATCAGTTCCTGTTCGGGCCAACGAACTGATGCGCGTAATACGTCTTCTTGGGGTTCACGCTATGCCATGTCGTGCCGACCCCGCCTTAGGTGGGATAAAGCAGGAGAAAGAGGAAGTGGTACTAGGCGTATCGTTTCCTGTCGGGGCGCAGGAAGTGATACGCGTTGCTATAGGCCTGGGGCCGCGTGGCGTTGCAGGCCGGAGCGCTTCAACCTGCAGAAGGCGTGGCGGTGGCAGCGCAAGCAGGAGCGGCTGGAGGATGGCCAGGACATGGGGCGGGAGATGAGCGCGTTCACGGCGCCGCCCTTGCACGGCCCGGACGGCAAGGACGCGTCGGCCGACGGTGAGCCTTGGGCCGTCCAGTGACACGCCCAACACGTTTGTTGACAAAACAAAACGGACTTCGAAGGTCTCATTCGCAAAGTCACAAAAATGGCAGTGGACACATATCGGCCCGTGGTGGGCGTTTAAGTCGTTTAGTGTCACGCCAAACACGTTTGTTGACAAAACGAAACGGACTTCGGATACCTCACTCACAAAACGCTAAACACGTTTTATTGTCAACAAACCAAACTGCCTTCTTAAAGGTCTCACTTACAATGTAACAAAAATGGCAATGGACACATATAGGCCCGCGGTGGGCATTAAAGCCGTCCAGTGTCACGCCGAACACGTTTGTTGACAAAACAAAACGGACTTCGAATGTCTCATTCGCAAAGTAACAAAAATGGCAGTGGACAAAAAAAATGACGCCCGCGGTGGGCGTTTAAATCGTTTAGTGTCACGCCAAACACTTTTATTGACAACAAATAAAACGGACTTCGAATATCTCACTCACAAAATAACAAAGAAGGGCAATGGAGACATATCGGGTCAGCGGTGGGCATTTAAATCGTTTAGTGTCACGCCAAACACGTTTATTGGCAACAAAAGAAACGCACTCCGAATATCTATTGTAATTATAAATTATAGTGGCATATTGGCAATCAGCCATTTAGCTCAGTGGTTGAAGCGTCCGATTGCGAATCCGGAAGAGGTTGGTTCGGGAAACCGACTGGGCCCAACACTCTGGACTCAATGGTGTCCGCAATCCGCAGGGCCGAACGGCGAGCCCCCGGACTGGAGCCTCGCCGAGATGGACGAGAAGCTGCGCCAGTTCCACATCCTCGCGAACACCACCAGCTCGGGAGACGAGGAGCCGGGCGCGGACTACGACTACGACTAGCATTACAACGGTGCCGCGCAAATTGGCCTTTCATTTCGGTGCCCTCTAACACCTCCCGTAATGACCTCCCAAACATACATTGAGCCCTCACCTTTTTTATGCTAGAAGGTACCCCCCCCCCCCCCCTCTTACACCTCCCATACATAAATTGTGCATTCCTTTATTTATATATGAGAGGATGACCTCCTACCCTTTTACACTTCCCGTAATGACCTCCCAAACATACATTGAGCCCTCACCTTTTTTATGCTAGAAGGTACCCCCCCCCCCCCCTTACACCTCCCATACATAAATTGTGCATTCCTTTTTTTATATATGAGAGGATGACCTCCTACCCTTTTACACTTCCCGTAATGACCTCCCAAACATACATTGAGCCCTCACCTTTTTTATGCTAGAAGGTACCCCCCCCCCCCCCTCTTACACCTCCCATACATAAATTGTGCATTCCTTTTTTTATATATGAGAGGATGACCTCCTACCCTTTTACACTTCCCGTAATGACCTCCCAAACATACATTGTGCACTCACCTTTATTAAGTGAGAAGGTACACCCCCCCCCCCACACTGTATTACCTCCCTTAATGCCCTCCTGAACATAGGTTGCGCTGACTATCAGTGATTATCGCCGCACGTGGACTACAAAACTGCACGGGTTGCAAATACGTTGACAGCCTTTTAAAAAAATATCGACTAACCCGAATATCTACTCGCCCGACGAAACCGAAAGTGTGATACTTCTACTTCACCCCGGTCTTCTGTGAGGTCGTGGTACTTACCCGGACGAGCCTGCCCATCCGTGCAACAATAAACACCTACTGCCTGGCCCTGCCACAGTGATTCCTTACTCTGCTTTTTCTGGTACTTTTTCCGCCACAATTTTCTCGAGTTCTTCTTAAGAACATAACATTGATAAAACTTATGCACTGTAGAAGCATAAAGTCACATATTAGAGATTATCTACGATAGATTAAAATTTGAAAATAGGATCAATAAAGTTAGTCCTTACTAATATTATAAACGAGAAAGGTTGCTTATATAGATGGATGTTTATTACTCTTTTACGCAAATACTACTGGAACTTTAATGAGCTTTAATGGAACTTTACAATAATATAGCTTATACATCAGAATAACACATAGGGTAATATTTATATACATATTTTTATGTATATCTGTGTTTCTGTCTGATTGTTACGCCTTCAGCCTATTCTACGCAGACGTAGCCGAGGGTAGCCGCTAGTAGGTCATTTGTAATAGGCACCATTGGCTTATTATAAGTGTATTTAGTATTTAAGTGTAATAAATATTCAATGCTTCGATTAATGGAATTAAAGAGATGTCTTTAGGAATTTCAGTAATATGGAATATTTAAAATTTATACTTATTAATTAACTACTTAATAATAATAATTTAATAAGAATTTACTGTTGACTCAAATAAATAAACAAGAGCTATTTAATTTAATAGTACTTCAATGAGTCGCTAGTATCCAAGGTATCAAGTCAATCCTGAACTAAATTTATATCTATCTTCTAATCAAATATATAAAATTGTTATGTCACAGTTTTTATAAATTTGTTGTCACAGTTATAATTATGTCATAGTTGTTTATACTCCCGAAACGGCTTGACCAATTTCGATGAAATTTTATATGTATACTAGTGGAACCAATATACGTTGTTCAGTACACACGTCTTAAATCAGACAACAACGTATAAATAAAGAAAAAACAAAAAAAAAACAATATGTCTAAACCATTCTCGAATCGACCTGAAGAACACACAAAAAATTTCATTAAAATCGGTCCAGCCGTATAGGAAGAGTTCAGTGACTCTAGATATAATTTATATGGCGAAGGAACGTTTGTCGGGTCAGCTAGTAACCTACGATGTGGTCGCTTTTAAAGATATTCGATAAATGAAACAAACAGGACTGCTTAATCGTTAAACATTATAATTACACAGGTCGCCTAACCTCGATCCGTTCAAATTTGCACCTTATGACCGTACTCATAGGGTCGATAGCGGTGCCTAGGTGGAGACCGAGGGCTGGTATTGGGCCGCTAGGCGCTTCATCTCGTTCGCTTTGGCGCTGTACTCCCTACAGAAGGGGTGCTCCGGATGGCTGTCGAGCAGCTGGGCCAAGTAGCGCGAGGACACCTGGAAATTCATACATTTCAGAGTTAAAACACAATCAAAACTATGAAATTTTATTGTTTCTTAAGGTGGTAGGACCACGCAACAGTATTACGGCACGAATGGGCAGGTCCATTGAGTACCAGGAGCTCATAGAGAGGCGTGGTGTGGAAGCGTAACACTTCTGCGTTTCGTCTGGTGAGTGAGGTGGCCGGGGCGCACGTTATTAAGAGGTGGCAACACACTGCAACCCTACGGATGTTGCAAATGGCCTTCAAATGCTAAAGAAACAATGTATACAATAGGCGTTGAGAATTTCGTCGGTGTGGCAATCGGCCGTTTAGCTTAGTGGCTAAAGCGTCAGGCCACGAATGACGAAGACGTGGGTTCTATTCCCACATCGGCGTCAATCTTCTCGTACCTTTTCTACAAATCTTAACCTATAATTATATATATATACATATATATATATATATATATATATATTCTATTCTATTATGTTATTGGATTTAACTTGTAATATAATTTGTTATTATTATATACTAGCTGTTCGGGCAGATTTCCTTCTTTTTTTTATAGTATTAAAACCTTCCGTGGACCTTAAGGAACATTAGCCAAATTGGTCGAACCATTCTTGAGTTATGCGCTTACCAACATTCATTTTTATTTATTATAAGATGATAAATATCACTGGTTCACCTTCACTATATAGGAAGAAGAGAACAATTAAACAAATAAAACGGTTGACAATCCATACTGGTATACAAATACTATATAAAAATTGTTTATTTTGTAAGTACTTGTTTTTGAAAGTTATTATTCGTACATACTGTTTTCTTTCACCTTTTAATAGGTATATTATTCAAGATGAAAATCGGCTATATATTTAATATGTATATAGGTACACATACATCTAAATATAATCAATTATATGTATACATTGCTTTCCCAATGTTTGATATAAAAAGCATAGATCATAGAGGAAGAATTAATATGCCACTGTGAGGGTCGAAAGGTATTAAGTAGTATTTTTATTTTGTTTGCAAGGTGTTGGATACTTAATCACAACGGCGTAGATGATCTTTTCCCTTCGGAAACATTTCTCTTTACTGTGGGACAACATTATCCTGTTTTTATTAGGACATTTACATACATAAATTTCACGTGAACAAAAGCCCAGATTCGACACAATTATCAGCGGTTCGAACCCACGAGCCAGCTGCGCCACTGAGCCATCTGCACCGAGGGCTTACCTCCGGGGACTTCCCCGCGTGGGCAGCGGTGACGGCCAGGCCCAGCAGCAGCTCCGGCTGCTGGGGCGCCCGGGTCTGCGCCTCGGTCAGCATCTGCTCCGCTTCCTCCCACATTCCTGCAATCAGTTTGTCCCTCTCATCGCCAACTTTGTCCATTCGCTACAATTGATAATATATATGTTAACATAAATTGCAATAAAATATCACTTCTTTCGGTCAAATAAGTAAATAAATAATTTAGAAATGTTCAATACTGTTTTAAAATTTTCTCTTTGAATTTTAAAGTGCCTGTGGTAGGTTTAACAGACAGAAAGGAGTTAGGAGGCATTATTTTTCATCATATTTATACAGCGTGTCGTTACCATCGCGACAATAAATGAACACACGCCTAACGCTACTTGCCAATTACAACTGAATGATTTATACATTTAGAGACTTTTTCATTTGTTGCCACAGCGTCGCATTATAAGGCTCTCCTTCTAACAGTATGTTTTGTCTCTTTTAAATTCATTCAACTCATTCATATGCTTTGTAACCTTTACAAATGACCTTTACGTTACAGTTTTATACGTAAGGGTGTTCTAAAATTGTTTGTTTTGGAAAATTTAATAACTCTGTAAATATTGATGTTTAAAGAATGTAAATTTTTGATACAATGTTACAAAGTTATCCTCTATATGTGTGTTCATTTATTTTCTTGTTGGTAACGTTGTTAACCTCTGGAGGCTGCTGCCGCTGCCCCAACTGCAGCCGGCCCCGCTCCGAGTGAGCCCAGCCGCTCAGAAAGCTCCATGATGCTGTAGTGGGCATCCTGTACTCCCGGCCCGCCCTAAGACAACAACAGTGCTTGTTACAACTAATTTTGTTTCTTGTGCATATGTTTCACACTAAGAGTTGTGTTTGTATTTTGTGTGGAAGGGGTTGAATAGAAGTCCCAACAACCATAAAAACTGCGAACCCATAAAAATGTCTGGTATTCTTTCCTTTGAAAACAATGCCCCTTTACTAAAGGATAAATCTATCCTGTCTTGTAAGAACATTCTACATACATTTTACGTTTCACAAACACCCAGATCCGAAACAACTATCTGTGGGTCACACAAATAGTTGTCTCATGCGGGAAATGAACCCACGACCCCCGACGCCGAATACTTTGGCAACTGCACCACAGAGCCATCATACCCATAGATAACTTGCAACTGTGCAGCGAACTTTTGACGGAGAGATGAGGTGAGAAACAATGTCCTATGGTTTGGTAACTCATCACTGGAAAGTCAAAAATATAATTACTTTTTATATGCCCTGTATACATAAAACAGGTGTGAAACTGATTTAAAATTTAAAAATGATTATAAAAAATGCCAAAAGCAGTATAATTGTTAAACCGCGGTGGCAAATAAGAGGCCACCACTCATTGACCTTTCTTCTCCGTTGGTTATCGGTTCTACAAGCAATTGCTTATTGGGCCAAAGGGGGCCCTGCATATTTAAACCCACTCATCTCTGCCTAAGACCTGCCTTTTTGAATGAAACTTATTAAATAAATAAGAGAAGTGATTTTTGTTTTTGCTTTGGCTGTTTGAATGAATTTGCTACGGGCCCCGCACTCGCTTAATCCGGCACTGGATATGTATGCGAATTATCTGCTATCATGCAGAAAAACACCGGGCATGGCCCATCTTTCTTTTCAGCTCCCCCATACGGTCAGCAGTGAAGGACTACGTCTCAGTTTCGTAGGTCATCACTGGCGACACACATTGATGGAAGACTGGAAGATATGCGGAAGTTTTTCAAACACTAGCATTTGAGTCGAAATTTCCAATTGACCTATATGTCCAAGTTATACTGGCCTAACTGCTAGGTAAACATACTTGTCATCATATTTGAGCATAGTGCAACCATCGGCTTACCTGTGACAGATTGAGCCAAGCCTGCGCCAGCTGTGTAAGAGTTCCATCGTCCTCTATATCTTGCAGCAGTTTCAATTGCTTTTTGGCCAAGTCTGGACGATTCATCGCCAGCAAGCATTGCAGTGTGAATGCGCGTAGCTCCAAAGACTCCGCTCCGTGTAGAATTCTGAAAATAGTACATGAGAAAAGCATGTTACAATGGTTCATGCATACAGAGTTCAAATCTCCATGTCGGTACCAAGAATATTGTTGTTTGATATTGTTTTTAATATTAAGTGCTGACTTATCACGAGCTTATCGACACAGGATTCCGTTATGAAGAAACCTGCATTTTCGAAATATGTAATGATCATTTTAGACTGTGTGTTACTAATGTCGTGTTTATTTCCTCTCTTTAAAGGTACACAACTGAAAGTGGTTTAATACAGTAGTTTATTATTGTCATGTCCTCAGCCTAGTTGATCTCCAAGTACCAAGTTATTGGCAAAATCATTGACGTATCAGTGGAGCCATATTAGGAAAAAAAAATTATAATTTTAAAAACGTTTATTTTGAAGATAATTATGTAGTCTGCTTAACCACTGTACAGTATAGGATTTGCTCAGCAGTGAAACATAATGTATAGGTAGTAACTTTACTTATATCTAAATTAATATGTGAAGCAAAAATTTTGTAATTTTGTGTTTGGAGTATGAAATTTCCCATACTTATAGTTAATATAGAAAACGAGTGCGGAATGCTGATATTTTTTAAAATTATGCATTAAAAATACATTTTTAAAATATGCATAAAAAATCAATAAAATACATTACACACTCTACCATATATAATTAATTATTTGAACTAGTGGTCATCCTACCGACAGTGAAAGAGTAAACATCTATTGTTTTTTGTCCGCGTTAAAAACTCAATATCTACAATAAAAAGTGCTAATTCTTACAGAAAATTTATACGTGTGTGTAGCTTGATTCACAAGCTTTGTGGCTGTGTAATTACTTCATCAAAATCTCACCGCACAACGGAGTAAGAAGGGTTTTAACTTCAAAAAGGTATTTACGTAACAACTTCCTTGACCTACCGCAACCCGCGGTCGGCCCACTGAAGTACCGACATATTCGTGTACGACAGTTGTTCCTTTTTATTTTTGGGCGCCTACATAAATAATCAGAGCATTATAACATATTAGAAAACCTAAGCTATTGCTATTTGAATATTGAAAATTAATAATTCAAGTACAAAAGTTTGCATAAAATGGATAAAAATATATGTGGGGCATGCAGAGCGCCGATAACCGATAAGAAGTACATGAGCTGTCTTGGTTGCAAACATAAATATGATCTACAATGTGTTAACATCTCGCCGCAGCGATACAGGTCTCTTAATGATGAAGATAAGCGATCATGGAGATGTTTCGAATGTAAAGGCAAAATACCTAAAAAAGATAATACCAATACACCGATACGCTCATCGTTTCACGCAGACACATCGTCATCCGAGGATAAGAATAACAGTAATGTAACGTTGCGGAAAAAAACTGAGCCAACGTATGATTATATAACGGAAGGCAGGTTGAAGCAGTTTTTGGAAGCTGAAAGACACGAAATAAGTGCTGTTATTCAATCTAGCCTAAAAGAATTGTCTGAACAGCTCCTGACAATTAAAAATCAATGTTCTGGGTATCAGGAGTCTGTGACGTTTATATGCAAGCAGTATGATGACATGCGTAAGGAGTTGGTGGATCTTAAAAAGCTACTTGCGACTAGTTCATCCGAGATAAGAAGTATTAAAGAAGAAAATAAATCTCTCAAGGACAGCTTAAGCGAACAATCCATGAGAATTAAGGCGTTAGAAGAAGAGAGTCTTAGGCAGCAGCAGTGGAATAGGATGCAGAATATCGAAATTAGAGGTATTCCTGAAAACAAGACCGAAGACACTGTAAGCATTATGTTGAAATTGTCGCAGCATATTGGTGTATCTATCCAGCAGACTGATGTTGAGTTTGTGCATCGCGTACAACCACGGCGTGCTGTCAGTTCGAAACAAGCACGTCCTATTATCGTACGTTTGAAACAACGTGCTATTAAGGATAAGATATTGGCAGCGTCACGCAAGCATCGGACTATAAATGCTAGGGACTTGGGAATGGGGGACGAGACAAATCGTATATTTATTAACGAACATCTTACGAAGGAAAACAAACTATTATTGAATACGTGTAAACAGAGAGCAAGAGAGGCGAATTATAAATTCGTATGGACAAAAAACTGTCGTATCTATGTCCGAAAAAAAAAAAAAAAAAACGAAACGTCACCCCCCATACCCATATCCTCCTCAGCAGATTTATCCAGGATCGTTTAAAATATTTAAAATATTCTATTTCTATTTCATTATTTCATACTTTAATACCTAATATAACTTTCTCCGCTAATCCTATTAAAACCTCAGTATTACACACAGCATACATTACACTTTTAGCATACCACATTACACATCAATACACAAACACGTTACCATGATAGCCTTTCCAAATTTATGCTACCCATACGTACTTTATAAATACGAGTTAAAAACGCACCTCCAGCCAAGCTTTTACAACCCACAGTAATTTTATTTTTAGGCAGCACGTATGCATAATTATTTCTTGTATTTTATTGTTAGTCTTTTGTTATATAGCGTGTATTATTTATTTTATAAATATTGCGTATCTGTCTGGACATAGTAACATAATTAAAAATGGATAAAAACGGAAATAAGAAATGATCAATTTTATATCAAAACACTAGAGGTCTACGGACAAAGACAAACACATTTTATAATAATTTATTATTGTCAGGAATAGATATTGTTATAGTTACGGAGACTTGGCTTTGTGAGGGTATATTGGACGCTGAAATTAGTGATGCCAACTACCGAGTCTTTCGTCGAGACAGAGGATCACTGGGAGGTGGTGTTATGATATTATGTAAGTCAGAATTGCAGGCATGTGCAGGACCAGAGATAAATTATAATAGTCTTGAATGTACTTGGGTAACCATCCCATTAAAAAATTTTGGTTCTCCGTATGACATACATATAGCTGTCGTATATATTCCTCCTAACCACCAAATACCATCGAGAATAAAGGACTTCATTGATGTTCTTTCTGACATTTGTGATAAAAATCCTAAAGATTACTTAGTTGTTGCCGGCGATTTTAATCTTCCATGTATCGACTGGAAACTAGATGACCCTGTGATAGTCAGAAAGGGATCTGTTGAAATTCAGACAGCAGCTTCTGATCTGCTATCCTACTGTTCTTTTATAGGCCTTACTCAACATAACACCTTATTAAATAGCAGTAACAACACGCTTGACTTGGTATTTTCCAATTTTCCACTTAAGGTAATAAAATCTAATGTTGTACTTGTTAAAGAAGACACATATCATCCAGCTCTCTACATGTCTGCTGCAGATATTGTTGTATCTCGTATAAAGCCTTGTTTAAGATGCAAATATCAATACACGCGGGCAGATTACAACGGTTTAAACGAAGAGTTTATAAATTCAGACTGGTCTTTTATTGCACGAGAAAAAGATTTGGATTATATTATGCAGAAATTTTATCAGATTATTAAAAAAATTATCGATAAATATGTCCCTAAAGTCCGTTGTGGCGGTAGAAACTCGTATCCCGTTTGGTATAGTAAAGCCTTAATTAACGTAATTAAAGAAAAGAACAAAATACATACCAACTGGAAAAAATTCAAAAATCAGGTTGATTATGCTGACTTTTCAGAACTGAGAAAAAGGCAGAAGAAACTTCAGGAAAATTGTTATAAATTATACATAGAACATACTCAAAAAAAAATTAAAGCTAACCCAAAAGTTTTCTGGAGTTACGTCAAATCAAAGCGTAAAAATAACTTAGATTATCCCCAACAAATGACATATGGTGATATAAAATTAAATAACCCCTTGGATATTTGTTGTTCATTTAATAATTTTTTTCAGAGAAACTTTAGTCAACCTAGTTATAATTATAATTCATTTACGCAAGGTGACACCTTAAATTGCAATACAATTCAAAATATTAATGTCAGCAAAGAGTTAGTTCATAAGGTAATTAGTAAGCTTGATATAACAAAGGGAGCTGGTAATGATAATTTGCCCCCTATATTTTTCGTAAAATGCGTTAAATCATTGTCTGCGCCAATAACACTGCTATTTAATAGGTGCATTCACGATGCGTATTTTCCAAGAGCTTGGAAAGAGGCTCATATTGTTCCCGTACATAAGAAAGGACTTAAAACTTATAGAGAATTACCGGCCGATATCGATACTTAATGTTCTGAGCAAAGTGTTGGAGAGAATTGTTCATATTCACATCTATCCTATTATCTCGCCTTTGATACCAACAGAACAGCATGGTTTTATAAAGGGACGTTCCACAGCAACTAACCTGGGTACCTTCATTGACTTCGTCACCACAAACATTGATGGAGGTTCGCAGGTGGATGTGATCTACACTGACTACGAAAAGGCTTTTGATCGAGTGGATCATAACATACTATTACGTAAGCTTTACGAACTTGGTATTCGGGGCGATCTACTAAGGTGGATGAAATCATACCTATGGAAACGGTCTCAAGCAGTGGTTTTAGGGGGGTTTCGTTCTAATTTTGTGGAAATATCGTCAGGCGTCCCCCAAGGCTCCATTTTGGGCCCTCTCTTATATGCTTGCTATCTGTACGACGTGGGTAAGTGTTTCCATCATGCTAAATTCCTTATGTACGCTGATGACACGAAAATTTTTATGAAAATCGTAAATTACTCAGACTGCGAAAAGTTACAAGTTGATCTTGAGCGGCTCAATACTTACTATAAAGAGAACCGTATTGATGTTAATGTTAATAAGTGTCACTGTGTGTCTTTTACTAGGAAAAAAGCAACCTTTAAACTTTGACTACCAAATAAACTTTTTTAATCTTCGTAAAGAAACTATTGTTAAAGATCTTGGTGTCCTAATGGACAATAAATTAGCATTTACCTACCACATAGATGCCATAGTAAATTCAGCCTACAAAAACCTAGGTTTTATTTTACGTGTTAGTAGACCTTTTTCTAGTATTAATTGCATAAAATTACTCTACGTTTCTTACGTACGAAGCACACTAGAATACTGTAGCATCGCCTGGAACCCACACTACATAACACATAAAAATAATTTGGAGAAGATTCAGCATAAGTTTATAAGGCACCTGAACTACAGAAGTCATAGTCTCCAGTGATTATGAAGTGTCATGCAAGTATTATAAACTCGCAAGCCGGCGTACGCTGTTGGACACGGCTTTCTTGCAGGGACTGTGTACAGGAAATATTGACTGCCAATATTTAGCTACAAAAGTTCTCCGATTGTCTACTCCAAAAGTTAGAACCAGACATACACGCTTATTTGCTGTAGCCAAGTCATCGACTCGCTATGCACAAAACTCATTAGTGAATCGCTTGCAGAGTGTCTTCAATAACAAATTTTACAATCTAGATATATTCAACACAAATAAAGATAAATTCAAAAGTGGGGTATTAAAAGTATTGGAGGAGGAAATGGCATCTTAACCACACTCACTCACACACACACACACACACACACACACACACACACACACACACACACACACACACACACACACACACACACACACACACACACACACACACACACACACACACACGCACGCGCGCGCGCGCACACATGCACACGCACACGCACACAAACGCTCAAGCACGCACGTAAAAAAAAAAATAATCCATAATAATGCCTAAGTATCAAAAGTTTTCATGTTTTCTACTGTCGTAATTTAAATTATTTAGCAGAATAATGTAAATCCAAATTGGCTGTAAGGTTTAGTAATAAGATTTACATATATTTTAAAAAAAAGTGCTGTGGATTTTGTTACAACAATAAAAAAAAAAAAAAAAAAAACCATTATTATATATGCTGTATGCTACACAGATGACTGCGTCTTTGAAACATTAGCGATTTTGTTTAATTTTATATAGGTATTCTAATTTTTGAATTAATTCCAATAAATAAAAAAATTTAAGTGTGAACACCTTAAAATTTTGTGGGCTTTAAGTACAGAACAAAAATTATATTTCAAACCTATGACATGAGAACCAGATGTTTGTTCATGGTATGCTAGTCTATATGACTTGCAGGGACCAAAACTCACCGTGCAAAAAGTAATAGGAGTCTGAACATAGTAATGGGATAATTTTGTTGTCTTGTATATGCAAAAATTAAGTTTTTCTTTAGAGTCATTGTTACAATATTATGCTTAAAAGTAAATTGGTTTAATATTTGATAATAATTGTGAAATAAAATTAATTATTTGTAAATATATTTAAATAAAATTGTTAAAATTAAATATTTTGCAACATTATTAAAGTTTTGTACAGTAGGGAATGGTTAAAAAGATCTTACTTAAGCGCTGCTTCATAATTCTCTTCATGGTAATAGATTGTAGCAGCAACAAGAATAAATATATCATTTGTCAGCTCTGTGCCCTTTGCTACCTGAAATGTAAACAATTTATTGAAATTAATTCTTATTTATAAAAAGAATAATATAGCTTCGTACACATTATTATTATAATTATCATATGAAATAAATCAACCTAGATTTAAATACATAGTATAAAATAAATTCGTTCAGCTATCTGTCTGACCTCTCTATGTATGCTTAGATCTTAAAAACTGCGCAAAATATCTTGACGCGGTTTTTTTTAACTAGGTAGATTGATTTAAGAGGAAGGTTTATATGTATAATTCAAGCATAATATAGTAAAGTACTAAATATACTTGCTGGGGCGGGTCGTTAGTAGTTACATAAATAAAAGTTCTTAGTCCAAATAAATCAAATTTCTTACATTTATAACTAAACAGAAATCAATTTGTGTTCTTGTTGTTGTTATTGCTATATATTATGATAAATTTAAATGCACTTATTTAGGTCGAATTCATTTTTCTATTTACCCTTGCATCAATATCTGCTACAATAGCAGGTTTGTTGGCTCCAGGAGAAAGATAATCAACAAGTGTCTTCAGTGGAAGAAGCAAGGGATCAGCATTTTTCAACTCTTGCAAGACAATCCTGTAGTTCCCTTGGGCAATGTAAGACCGATAGAGGAAAGCATCCCTATGAAGTGTAACCAGAGGAGAAGTAGGCTGTAAAATAAAATACATAACAATTACATTCACTTAACTAAATTGACGATATCAAATCATCAATTAAACAAAATATAGTCTGTCACAAGCTGCCAATTACTAATTGATGCACTTCACATACTTTCATAATATACTTGTTTATATGTTTTGTTTAGTTATGCAGGTTTCTTTACAATGAAAACTTCCTTCAGATTCAAGTTTGGTTTAAATTAACACTAAACTCGGTTCATTATTGGATAATTTGGGTAGCATTGAACTTGAAAATCCAATATTGGAAACCCATACCACTTTATCATACAGACTAAATAAAAAGCTCCTTGAAACTTCTCAGTATTACCTATCCCTGCTTAAAACTTCTTATAATCCCAAATTTCACCCTCATCTTAATAATACATCAAATATACATATTTATGTATATGCACATATTTAAAAAAAAGTTAGTAAATTACAGACAAATTCATTGATTTTTCTTAATATTTCAGTCTATAGAATTATTTTAATTCAATAGGAATTATGCTAGAAACAAATGGGATATGGAAATGGATAGAGGAAACAAAATATGTTAAATATGCCAAATAGCTAGAATTGAACATATAGAAACATTCGATGGACATGATAAAATTTTAATACACCAAATCTTGTAAAAGTAAATATTCAAATATTTATCTCTACAAAATGCTTTAATATAAAGCCATTGTAGCTCAGTTTAGCCCACTGGGATTTAAACTCGGGTAGTTTAAATCCCAGTGCCAGCACCAAAATAATTGTTCATTACAATTTTAAATACTGATTTATCTTTTTCTCGTTGGTGAAGGGAAACACCATGAGGAAAATGTAACATGCATATTTTCTAAATAATAATAACAAAAATTTGAAAATATGTGAAAGCTGCTCTTCAAGGTATTAGCTTCAGTACTGGTTCAGTAATTTATGTTGACATGTTTGTTCACATGAATTTGTAAAACATTCTTAGAACACAGGATAATGTTATGTTTTATAACCTTAGAATACTTATGTTTTCGGTCCTAAGTGAATCTAGCGTGTTTTTAATACTGATACCAGGATTACACAGTTTACGTTTTGCACAAATAAGTACAACCTTCAGACTATTACGAACGTTTGAACTTCGAGGGTTTACTGAAGGTAGGCAATTTGAATTCATTATATCAATATAAAGATTAGGAAGGAAGATGGGTTTGTATATATAATTCTTTCTGTGAAGCAGATAATGCAAGAGTACCACAACACCGATACACGTCATCCAAAGTTAAAACTTTATTCTGAAGCATATTGTCTGTATTAACTACATTTATAAACACACTTACATTTACGCTTTGAGCTTCGTTAATAGCTTGCTGGTAATTTCCAATATAAAAAGCATTTTTAACATCGAATAATTCATCAACATCTTGCTGCTGACGTGCCATTTTGACAGAAACTGACAAAGTACAAACCATAGATAAGACATATATACTGAAACAAACCTATATACTGAAACTGGTACAAACATAAGATCAAAAAGTGACATAAATAGACATTAAAATTCCATTAATTTTAATGTCTATTTATAGTATATAATAAGGAATGTCTATGAATTTTGTCACTAGAAAACTAACAATATTACTATTATTATATTAATATTTCTTAATTAAAGGAGTAAGAATAATAACTTTCCATGGGACTATCGTTCATTGTAGGATAGTATATGAAAAGAAAGAAAAAATTAAGCCATTTTTCTTTCAATTTACACATTCAACAGCAATAAAAATACGATATATTCAGTTAATTGTTAAAAATACAATACAACTATCGTGGATATATATCGAGATTTTCACGCCATGAGGTCATCGGCCACTTAGCTTAGTTGGTAAAGCATCTGGGCAAGAAACCAGAAGACGCAGGTTCGAATTCCGTAGCACCGTTTTTGTTCATTTATCAACAAAAAAACACAATTTATAGTTTCATCTTAGGTGCAGAAACTACCATTAAAAATAAAAATTAATCCTAAAATTTTAATAGCAATGGTGACATCTCTTATTACAATAATTCATCGTTAAAAGTTCTTTGTAAAATGTTTTATGCTGTATAAACTAGATGGCGCTAAGCATTACAAAAATTGCACTAGAAAGAACATAGATGTCAAGATTGTCGCGCTGTGAGGTCATCGGCCGTTTAGCTTAGACAGTAAAGCGTATCGGCGCGAATCTGGAAGACACAGGTTCGATACCGGCAGCACCGAAAGGTTTTGTTCATTTATCTATAATCCTTCGAATTACTTTATGCGTCCATAATTTTATATTATTCGTTGATAAAAACAAATTAACTCTTTTACAAAAATAATTCGAAAAATCAGGAACACAACGTCTAAACATTAGGTAAACAATATTTAAATATAACAATATTTAAATCGTGCTATTTAAAGTATTGGAATTTTTAAATTATTATTTTCTAACTTCGTCAATTCTGAAAACAGATGCCAAAACCCAACAATTATCAGAAACAGTTTTGTTTAACGTCGTATTTCACTTTTTCTATCAACAACCTATGCCATGCTATGGCGATTCAGCTGTTTTCGATATACAGCGCATGACCGATTATGAGAGACTGACATTATTACTATTAGTAGACCAGGAATGGGAAGTCAAGGTGCAGAACTGTACGAAAAGATTTACTGTAAGCACTGTGCTAATACCATACGGCTATTCAGATCCAAAACAGGCTTCAAGAAATTCACCGTAGATATGTGAGCTGACACGAATCTACGATAACTTCGTGAAGCTGATATAAAGCCTGATGGGTCAACAAATGGTCTTAAACTTCTCAGAGAACGAGAGTTCCTTGGCTATGGTTTGCTGGAGAGAAGGTCCTATGGATGTTTAGACTTGATAGAAAACCAACCTCTGACAACTCTCAGATACGTAGAGCAGAATTTTATTATTTCTTGAGCATACTGATCATTTCTTAGCGAAATATAATTCCAGCTCTTTCCAGCTCCACCTACCTTACACGGGTTGAAGCATGCATTAGTGGAAGAGAGTTCACACTTATACCAAAATCATTTAACAAATTTGGTTTAAAAGTTATATAGACTCGTAAAAAAATAAAAGTAGGTATCAATAGTAACATCAAACTGTATTTTTTTGTAAACTGCGTTGTGTATGTTTTGATGACATAAGTTAAAAGATTTTTATATTTTGCGCACAATGTTTAGGCATTTTCTTTTGGATCATTATGTTATTTATTACTACAGCTTTTTTAGCAAGCCATCGTTTATGCAGGCCAGTGTACATAGTTCAAAATGTTTAGTACATAGATCCGTGAGTAATCTGAGATATAACAAGAAATAACCGAAGGTGCATCCGAATTGTAATAACAATTTGAGCAGGTAAAGGCCAAAGCAAAGGCGTTTTTATGTGCGTTTGTTTATTTTTTTTCGGCATTTGCGCTTTAGAAACTGCACCTATCTCCGTAAGTAATTCCTCGGTGCACAAAGCTTTTTCAACAATGATCCGCCGTTGGGAGGATGTAAGTCTCGCACTTACTCAGGTAGTCGCGACAACCAGGTAAGTGTGTATCGAGACACGGGCAATATTACAGCCCTTGAGTTCAAACATTATTAGCTGACGACAGCTTTCTATTGACTTATTATTTTATATTGTTCCCATGGCTGCCTCTATTTCAAGCACGGATGAAAGCTTTATCATGCTTCTTTCACCAGAAGTCTGTGGAAATGACAGCCATCCGAAGGATGTTTGCTATAACCGAAAACGTAAACTTTCTAAATATGACTCTCATCTGTACCACTGTAACATATTCGATGCTTTGACTGAATTAATGGTGCAGCACCATTCCCTTTTTTAATTAATGACAGGATTCGGTAGACGAGTAGACAGACTACTATACCGCCCATGAACATTTAGACCTACTTTGGGGTAGCAGAATGCTATCGGCCTTCAAAGAATTGGCCCCGGTTACCTAACTCATCAGGCGAAACGCAAAAGTATTATACGCTTCCACTTCACCCCTGTTTTCCAGGCCGTGGTACTTCCCCGGAAGGAGTTATTTCTAGACGCAGTGGTCGAAATTGGACCATAATTATACACGGTAATGTGTGTAACGTATTCTTTTTTTTTAATAATTTTGCGTATAATGAAAAAAAATATTAGCATTCTGCACACATTCTCTATATAAACTACTAGCGACCCGCCCCAGCTTCGCACGGGTGCAATGTATTATACACATAAACTTTCCTTTTGAATCACTCTATCTAGTAAAAAAACCGCATCAAGTTCACCCGTTGCGTAGTTTTAAAGATTATATTATGTATATATACTATGATTATATATACTTTGTACTTAGTTTTATACTATGTAGTTATAAGTGTGCTGTATACTCTTACGCGCAATTTTCGAAAAAAGGCTAAAAAGTTTATACTTCACGTATTAATAAATAGAATAAACTAGATGATGGTTAAGTACCGTATAAGTATAGTACCGTAAATTTGACTTAATCTAATATATAAAATTCTCGTGTCACGGAGTTCGAACTTGAACTCCTCCGAAACGGCTCGACAGATTTTTACCAAATTTTATATGCGTATTCAGTAGGTCTGAGAATCGGCTACTATCTATTTTTCGTCCCCCTAAATGTTAAGGGTAGTCCACCCCTAAATTTTTTTTTATTTTTTAGGCAAAATTTTTTGTTTTTATTTTTTTATGACACAGCATACAAAAATACATACAACCCTAAATTTTCACCCCTCTACGCACACGTAGTCGCGGGCAGCAGCTAGTATTAAATATACCAGTTGACGCCGAGTGGTTGAAATTCGACCAAAATTTATTGAAATTATAAATTAGAAAAATATTAATCTATTCTCAAATACAATAAACAAAAGAGTATACATGCGTGTGTGGCAAATACATGGTGGTAGTGTGTCTAATTTTTTATTGATTAAGCATTTTGCGCACCTCTATATAAACTATAAGTGTGGGAAATTACAAACTCTTCCATCCAATTTTTGTAAAAAGGGGTAAAAAGTTTTTGCTTCATGTCTTTTTATATAGAATATAACTTAGCTGACGGTTAAGTATAGTATGTACCTAACATCTGACTCAATATTAAATACATCATTATATACTGCAGTAACACAGACAATGAATAAAACATTTAAAAAAAATTGTTGCGGCATGTTGAAGATGGCGGGCCCAAAATTTCGTACACCTTTTTAATTATTACCTTTTTTAAGATTATGCGATAACTGAGCAAACGTTTTATCTGTTCCAGGAACTTTGAACAATGCAAGTTATCGGTGAGGCGTAATTTATTAGCACCTGCTCTGTTTATGCTATCTGCATTACAAAGGCAAGTAAGAACTAAAGGTGGCCAAATCCCGCGCGGTATTTACGAGTGAAATTATTGCATTGTTTCTTTAAAGATAACACGGCCTTAAGTCCTTTCGTTTCTTCACATTTCATTGAGAAATCTAGTTTGCAGGTGCGAAAAGTTTTGAGAAATTCAATAGCTTTTGACACATCTCGGTTTGTTGCGACTATTATTCTAGCTCGTTTTAACTATGCGTTATTTAGTTTTAACAATCATTAATGCCGAGCCTTGTTTTTAGCTTTATTAAATTTTTTTTTGTGTTCGAGAATAGACAAATTAGGGGAAACCACAGTTCTGTGAATAGCAAAAATATTAACCTTGAGTTGGTATAGAACGTTATTAACATGACGCATTTTAATTCCCCTATTAGATTCCGGTTTCTGAAACATTGATCATCGTAGAAGTTAACTAATCAGCTGTCAAATGGCTTTTCAAATATCATTCGAATCTTCAAAAGGATGGATAAACTCTGAATTGATCAGAATGATCTTCTTAATGATTATAATGATCAATTCAGAGAGTTAGTTAACTTCTACGGTGATCAGTGTTCTACGGTTACGGTGTTTGTCAAGGAAATAATAATGATAGGGAATTTATCAATTACGAACTTCATTTAAAAGCATTAGATAGCATTAATTTAAAAAAAAAGTTGATCCGATTCCCAAACTTCACAGAATCGTCCGCTGTGTAAGTCTGAAGGTGCCAGAAAATTTTATCTAAATCCGTCCATGCGTTTTCGACTCCATGGGGAACAAACATTAATTTATTAATATTAAAACACAACTTAGTCAATTCTTTACGTTAGAAATTGCTCGAATTCTCGGAACTACTGTTCCATGTTAAACTATTAAAATAATCTATTTTATAATTATTAAACTATCGTATAAATGCTTTTATAATTATATAAAGATAAACGAGTATTTCTGAAAATCCAAAAAAAAGTTTTCAAAACAAAAATGTAACGTGCTGAACACGCTGTACATGTTTCTAACCTCAAAAGCGAGTTATTTTTAAAGAGTTTATGATTTAGTTATTCCATATAAGAAAAATCTATCAATTGTATATCCCTTATTTAATATTTTGTGTTGTCTTAAGTTGTCACAGATGAATGAAGAATTTTTATACGAGACAGTTACTTATTATACATATCTTTCTATAAACGTGAGTCATCGCCCAGGTGCGTCGTTACAGAGTGAAGAGCGTTGCTCCGCCAGTAATTGTAGCTCGATTTGACGCGACAGACCCTACGACGCAGCCGGGCTGTACTTCTATATTGTTCTTTTTTGTATTCCATCGCTTTATTATAGCGTCGTACATTCCCAGCGGAAATATATTGTTGACGTACCTGGTTCGAACAGAATGTTTTTTTTTTTTGTGAAATACATTGGTTATGCAAAAGATCTCTTTAAATCGAATAGTAGTCGTAAATATTGAAACCAATTTTATAGTAAAGTTAATTAAGGCCTATGGATGTAAAACGGATATTATGAAGACAAAATTTTGTTTACATTGTTATCGCTCTCTTAATGACTGTCGGTAATTGTTTTGTTTAATAACACGAAAAACTGCAAAGCGAGCAACATCAACAACACCAGACGGGTTGCAGATGCGATGCCAACCTTATACAGGGAGATTTTTTTGAGAAGTGCCCAAATTTACACAGGAGGTTCAGACTCGGTAGTATAATCGTTTATTGGAATAAAAAACAAGGTTTTTTTTCCGAAAAAAATGCCATTCTTTTCCCTAAAAAACAGAACGTGTTGACAATGCGGTAGTCAATCATAAATACCTAAATTTTACTGTGCACGAACTTGTGTGCGTGGTACTTATGAATGATCGCGCGTAAAATGAATGAGTTGCAAATAAATCATGCACTTTTTGAGATAAGTTCAAATAATGTAATCAATTACTTACGAGTGATTTTAAATATTTATCATTTTTATATAACATTATTTATGTCTAGAGTTTAATAAAAAAAATGGATACACTTAGAAAGGCCAACCTGTATATACTTCTTCTTTACGTTGGTCGTATGTGAGGTCATATTACTTCCCCGAACGAGCAAATCATTCATCAAATATTATTCTATTATAGATTACTGTATTTTAAACTCATGTTTGCACTGCGTACTTCCATTTATGTTGGGATTAAAACCAATGTACGTTAAAACATGTTTTAGTTTTAAAGCAGTGTGACAGACAACAGCTCTTTTGACAATTACACACGAAAACAAGATGGGTTAAAGTTTCATATTGTATATGAAGATATAAGACTAGCGCACCGAAATAAAGGCACTTAAATTATGCCAATTGGTGTAATTGTAATTAGAACAATTCTATAGACTGCTATCTCTTTCTGTATCAAACGTTCTATATCATCTGTCACATTCACTTATACAGCGTGTCGTTACAACCGCGACAATAAATGAACACACATATGGATAACTTGGACATGAGGATAACTTTTTAAAATTGTATTAAGCATTTACATTCTTTAAACATCAGTATTTACCGAGTTATAAAATTTTACAAAACAAACATTTTACGAACACCCTAACGTTTTATACGTTAGGGTTTTATACTGTAACGTAAAGTTCATGTGTGAAGGTCACGAAACATATGAATGGGTTGAATGAATTTAAAAGAGATAAAACATACTGTTAGAAGGAAGTCTCTGAATGAAAAAAGTCTCTGAATGTATGAATCAGTCAGTTGTAGTTGTATAGGATGTTACAAATTTTGTTTCTTTATTATTTAATAAGTCTGTTTGATAAATATATTTTTTTAATTATGGATTTTTTAACGTTTTAATTTTTTTAAGATTATTGGCAAGTAGCGTTAGACATGTGTTCATTTATTGTCGCGGTTGTAACGACACGCTGTATTATATCATATAATGTAAAGCGGAACAATTTTTAAACACCGCACAGTACGGACATGCGTCATCTGTATTATTAAACATCATTGGTTACAGGCCCTTTTTACCCGCTAACAGTTGGCCCTCGACTACCCTACTTACCAGGCGAATTGCCAAAATATATGTAAATACTACACGTAGGCATAGTGCCTACTAAGAACTGGAACACGTAGCGTTGTAAAGCGAAGATCATAAGAATCCCGGGCAACCGGTTGATGTAAATTGTGATGCAAAGTTCATTGTGACGGTTTTAAAGGAGACTTGTTTCTACAGTGGTCGTATACGAGCTGATGATGATGTTTGTATTCCATGAGATCGGAGTACTTCTACAGTCGAACAAGTTGCTACGTTCACCACACTGACAGAAAAGAAAAAAACATGAAGGCAAATTTTTTTTTTTTAATAGGTCAAGATACATTTTTATGATTGAGCTTTAATATAGTTATGCAAAGAGACCTGAATTGTTGTTGCTATTTCCAGTTTGATTTAAAACTTGATCTTTTTAGGGTTCCGTACCCAAAAGGTAAAACAGGACCCTCAAGAACTAAGACTCAGCTGTCTGTCTGTTCGTCTGTCACGAGGCTGTATCTCATGAACCGTGATACTTAGTTGAAATTTACACAGATGATGTATTTCTGTTTCCGCTATAACATCGAATACTGAAAAACACACTGGGCTCCCATACAACAGAAATGATTTTTTTCCGTTTTTATTGATAATGGCACGGAACCCTTCGAGCGCTAGTCCGACTCGCACTTAGCCGGTATGATTTTATGACAAGTTCTGTGGGTAATTGTGTTCGAGAAAAGTTAGTTACAATTGACCAATTGTTTATGTAGCTTTCAACTATGGAATATATTTATTAAGTAACTATAAAATATATAATATTTAAATATAATTTTGAGCAACTAACTCCGGTGTTTATTTATTATATTATTTTTACGTTACCTTTTTTATTAATAATCAATGGAAAAAAAAAATTGAACCATATTCGAGGGACCTCGGCTTATTAAAGAAGAGAATCTTGAATATTTTAACGCATTTTGCATATCTGAAAAACATGGAAAATGTGGAAAAATTGTAATTGTCAGCGGAACCCTTGACCTGTCAATGTCCTAGTACTCTGTAAAAAGTTGACTTTCGCCCACGATCAATAAAGATATTTAATGTTTCATATAAACTAAATCTCTGTAGGGCGTACAAACTAAATCTCTAATTAGAGAGGGTAATATATATAACATAATTATAGAGGGTACATTGTATTATAACATAATTATGTTACGATTGCTCTTGTGCAAAACAATAAAACCGACTAAAACAAAGTCGAAAACTTGCATTGTCCTAAACGCGGTGTTCGAAAAAGAATTTGCAGTGAAACGTCTACGTCATTGAAAGTAGAGCTTAAGCCTTGTTCGCACTAGACTAAAAATCAAGTCGAGTAATTTAGTAACTAAACTCGTTCGCACTAGACTAGGAATTAAATCGAGTACCGAGTAATTCAGTAACTAAACGTGTCTGTTAATAAATTGTCGTACTCATAGCCTTTTTCTCTTTATTACCAAAAATTTTCAACCACCATCTTAGACAGCGATTGCCCGTAGCTTTATTAGCTTATTTACTTTATTGTGTTGAACATCTAGCAAAACACGACTCAATTGTGTACTGTACTCGACAATAATGCAAGATTTCTGGCCAGTTGCGAGTATTTTAGCTGCTAAATCACTGGGTACTCGTTTAAACTACTGGCCTAGTGCGAGCAAGGCTTTAAAGCACGCGTATCGAAAACTGTATAAAACTGGTCCCGTAGAAACGCCTCGAACGTTCGGAGCGGCCACAATGCAAGCTGGGGAAGGTGCAGCCGCGAACGGTGCCGAGACAGATGCACGGCCCCAAGGGCCCCGCTGCCTTGGGGTCAATGGCGGATTGAATGAGCGTTTCTGCAATGCGAATTCGAATCGGAAGCCACTCAAGTCGGGGCCCGTGGTGGGAAAAAACCCGAAGAACGCATTCGTCCTATATCGGCTTTGTTGTGCAGCGAAAAAAGCTCAATTATGCGTTATCGTCGTGAACTTGAACCAAACGGCTGTTGCTTGCTGTTTATAAATCTATTAATAACTCCATTTTGGAGTTGTGTTTTATTTTACTAAAGGATAGAGAACATTTACGAATTCATATCTAAATTAAATTATGAGAATTATCCATAAATCGTTCCAGGTTTTCCTTTTTGTGACATTGTCACAACAAAACCACACTGTAGCGTAACATTATCCTGTTTTGTGTTGTAATATAAACATAAACTTCACGTGGTCAAAACCCAGTAAAGAAGTAGTAAAGAAACAGCCTATTCATGTCCCACTGCTGGGCAAAGGCCTCCTCTATACAGAGGGTATCAGGGCATAGTCCACCACGCGGCCCCACTGCGGATTGGCGGACTTCACATATCTTCGAAAAATATTTTTTTTTGTTATTATTTCGAAAATATGCAGGTTTCCTTACGATGGTTTCCTTCACCGCGGAGCACGTGATAAGTCAGCACTTAAAGTTAAAAACTTCATTCGTGCCGGCACCGGGGATCGAACTCAGGTTGCTCGAGTATATTGAATTAAAGGCGAGCGCCCGGACACTGAGCTATCACGGCTCTAAAAACCCAGATCTGAACCAATTATGGTTGGTCTTGGTCAAAGTATGGTGGGTCACACAAACAGTTGAGGGTCGAACCCACGACTTCCGGCGCCGAAGAAAATACATTGACAACTGCGACACCATATCCATCAGATAATTCATGATCGTCATATTACTGAGCTTGAAAATTGTACCGACAGTAATCAAACCTTCAAAATGGGCCCGTCAGTTGAAAAATAACTACAGAAGATTATGAAAAAATATTTGTTTTTTAAGTGAGAAGGTGGCAGGGGAGCTGGCGGTTCACCTTAAGTTAAGTGATAATCGCCGCCCATGGATATATGCATTGCCACCTTATAATAAAGTGGGCCCCGGCTACCTCACTCACCAGACGAAACGCAGAAGTATGATACTTCCATTTCACGCCGGATTTCAGTGAGGTCGTGGTACTTACCAGGACCTGCCAGTTCGTGCAACAGCCGAAGCTGCTGCGGATTTCTACCGTCCTGGATTCGCCTGCTCATTACTGCAACAGAAATAGCTGCTCCTCTACCACAGTAGTTTATCACACAATTTCCATTATAAATAGACATAACAGCATACTTTTCTCAGTTCACTTCTTTTTAATAAATAAATAATTAATAACATTTCAGAACATATTTACACAAAGTTACCTAATCCTAAACTAAGCAAAGCTTGTACTATGGATTCTAGGTAAGGACTGAACATACTAAAAAATTGTTTTTTTTTTTTTAAATGAATATATATTACTGAAATATAAACACCCAGACACTAGTAAAGCACAAGGTTCATCACACAATATTTTTCCAGTAGTAGGGATCGAACCCACACCCTCTAGTGCATAAGATCTGTCTTATGCACTAGAGGGTGTGGGCCACCACTACTGCACCGATATACGACATAAATATAATTGGCGGTTGTAACCGTATTTGTATTTAGGAGGCCAATCCTGCCTTCACTCTTACCGCCTTTGATGATTTCTTAGTATTTATAATTCTCTACAGGCTCAAAGCGTTGTTTCCGTTTACTTCATTAATAACTGATAACAAAGCGCCGTTATTGTTTTCAAATTTACAATGACGGAAATTCGTGAGAAACAAGTCAAATGTCACTCAAGCGCTGAGAGATTTCGTGTAATATCCGCTTCGATTAAATATAATGTACGAATGATGAATGGGAAGAATTTAATTAGTGATTAAACGGAATTAAATTCGTTTGTTTATCAAGTGGAGACTAACTAAGCCCTTGAGAACGAAATTTGAAAATCAACTAATTATTTGCTGGTCTTTTCTATTTAAGTTCGTAAGTCAGACGTGAAAAAACAATTATCTTGATATTATAACAACGTACCTACTCAGTGAGAGAAGACGTCGTAGGAATGAAAAACGTATTACATATGAAATTACGTTTACTGATATATGACTTACTGCCTGTGAGTTAAATATTCTTTTAAAACGCTTTCTTCAAGTGATGTTTTATGACCTATTGATAAAGACAGACAAAAAAATTCCAAATTCATGATAAATACATATTATCTTACATGCCAAAGAGATGTACTATTGTTAGGTAAATTTTAATTCATAATCGCTGCTTACTTTTCCAGTGTCACTAATTTTTATTCAACGTATTAATTTTATTTTAATATTATGTAACATATTGTTATTCTTGCTATTATTGATATGTATACACTGTACAAATATATTGTGATCTGTGTTGAAATGGTTTGTAAATTTATTTTCGGATTTCTTTAGTTTAAATATTTTTTGGTCACATTCGACCTAGTTAGGATCCAGGTAAATCTGTCATCGAGAACCAAGTCATAATAACCAAGAACCAATAACGTGCTTCGAGAATGTCTAGAAGAGATCTGTATTGTTGTCCTGCAATAAAGAGGTGAAGCGACCAGGAGATCATAACTTAAGCGATACTTCTTTTGCTTTTTCTCGCAATCGCTTTACTGAGGTGGCGACGGTGAGTCACCGTTCACGCCCACGTGGTGACGTGGCGTGATGGTGTGTAGTAAGCGAATACTGGGGTGGAAATCATATCTTCGTAAAGTACAGAATGGGGAATATTTACGTTAGTCACGGTGTAGTAAATGGACAAACAGTCTACCAAGGTTAAAATATGTAGAAAAAGTGCGAAAAGATTGTCGCCGCTGTGGGAATCGAACCCACGTCTTCGGCAAAAAATGTGGAACGCTTCACGATTTTGCGTTGCCAAGGTGTTTTTTTTTTAATAACGAACTCTCGTAAAAATATACCAATATAAAATAACCTACGAGAAGAACCCATAGCAATATTTATACTATTTATTTACATATATTATAATACTAGCGGCATGTTTGTCATACCTTTAGCTTTAAAGAGCTTCTGTGGGCTACGATTTTCACTTAAGGATTCTGGAAAATGAGAACTGGTTGATGGATCCAACTTAGCTTACTTTGAACTCGTACCTCAAATCCCAAGTGCCAGCTATCATTGTCGTACTTCATTATTCAACATAGAATTGGAATTTTAAGTGATAAATAAAATCCTTTTTCCAAACGCTCACCGTAGGTTAATTTGAAGTGTCGTCAAACCCATACATTTTACAGTGTATGACCGGGGTAAGAAGACAAGAACATTTAATACGGGAAATGAGAGTGGAAGATTAGAATTATTTAAGTCTATTGATGAGTGAGAAGCACAGTTGCCAAGGTATTGGCTTTACGCCGGGGATCCTGAACGGAATTCCCACTCAGGACAACTATTTACGTAGCCCATAGATAATTGTTTCGAAGCCGGGTGTTTCTCCACGTAAAATTGATGGATATAAAACGTACTTATAACACGGGATGGTGTTATCCCACAGTAAGGAGAAATGTTTTCGAAGGGAAGGCTACGACAGATCTTTCTAGGTCGCAGCGGTCGGACTTACTACCCAACCCCTTTCACACAAATGTACAAACATACGTACAAGTGTATTGATAATGACTAAGTTTTTAGTAAATAAAAATAAGAATACCCACGCTGGCGGTAAAACCGCCGTTTGTTTTATCACTCTATGGCCTATGGTCTTCTAATTTATTTTAGAATTTCAGAACAAATTTTTATTTCTTCTTGTTCCTTTTCATTTCTTTCCATTTTTCAATGGATACACCAATGAACACTGTTAATTCTCAAACACCGTTAATTATTATTAAGCATAGTTAAAAAAGCTAAGTAAATATTATAGTAACTCGACATGACATAGCACTGTGATAATACAATGACTTATTGAATAGCTATTATTTTGGCAGTCTGCGAACTCATCTAAAACAAAATACACACCCGGTTTAAATCCAGAATAATTAGGTCAAGGGTTAGTAAAGAGAAACAACAATTACAACCTAATATAATTTACTAAATATTATTTGAATTAATAAAATAAAAACATAAACAAAAGTGGAGGTTGTGAAGGTTATAAGAGAATTAAAATGACGAATATAGGAATGAAGTATTTATTTATTTATTTATTACACGTTTATATAGTGTATACACCATTAAAGACAACGTCAAATATAGATACATCAATTTTTCCTCAGTGCGATTACAAAAACAGGCGCTGCGTGCAAAATAACCAGCGGAATAAAATCAGCCTTAAAATAAAAATAAATGATTTTTTTACAAAATCCAAAAGCTTGTTTAACAAAAACGAAATAATAAAATAAAAATTATAGTTTTTCATATTATAGGTAATAATTTCGAAAAGAGTCATTGTGGTCGAAATTACCCTGCATAATGTACCTATGTCAATCGCAATAGAGATTTGTCAAATGGATTTTGAACATCCTGTTAGTCTAGACTTGTACGCACGGCAGGGAAGACAAAGAAAGAGGTCAACGATATTCTCATGTTCCTTTGTGAACTATATCGAAAATTTGGCGTATAATCGATATTCTAAAACTGGATGAAATATACCTCCTTTAATTATTCTCGATCGTGCACAAGCGACGTTCCACCCAGGAATACTCTCGCTATCCCACCAGCACGGGCCACTTCACCCATCCCTCCTTAGGGACAACCTCCCATTCTCCAGGTAAAGCGCGCTGGAACATAGAGCGTGCCTTATCCATTTTTTTACGGACTCCCCCCACTCCGCTGCTTAAGCCTCATGGGAGCTAGGAGAGTCAGGGCTTGCTAGCCCTGCAGCAAAACTCCCAGCTCACAGTGGCGGACCTGGTCTATGGTTCCACCGCTCATCGTGTTTTTACAGCAAGTTAAGGTGACTAAGCCGACTAGGCTAGGCGGGAACTCCATCGTAGTGGAGATGTTGATGGTATTTAGAGCATGGGAGGTCGGACATTGCGATCTTAACGTATCGTGACATATTTGTTCAACTTCAAATCCCCAGCAACAATTATTAGCAGAATTAATAATTGTTGCTGGTCTATGACTTAGTCTCCGGACTTGTTGAGGATTGTCTTAGGGGTAACC